GGCGAACGTAGAGCTGATATTTGACCCGCGCGATCGCGAGCCTTTGGACTTGCCCGCCAGAAGAGGTCTCCGTCACATCATTGCTGAACTTATGTTGCCTGAGGTCGGTTAGTTTCATGGTGCCCGAGTGCATGGCGTTCAGGGTCCTCAGCACGTCGTTTGCCGCCCGATGTACCTCATCTTTGCTATGTAAACGCTGCCTACTGCTGCCCGAACGAGTTGACACCCGACCTCGTCGAGGCAATCACGCGACTGGTAGGACTGCTTCGTTGACACCCTGGGCGGCGGCAACACCAGAGAGCGGGGGGAACGTCGAAGGTGATCCTGACCCTGTCTCCTCACTTTGGCCCTCACACCTGTCAGGAGGGAAAGAAACACACAGACACAATGAATCGTCGATTCCCCAGAAAATATTGGAAACTATGAGAAGTGGGGGGGACGAAGAAAACGCAAAACATATGGGAAGATATGGGGAATGGTTTGTGTGTATTTATTTGTGTGTCCCAGGGCCCCTTCAATCCTGACCCTGTCTCGCCGCTTTGGCCCTCACACCTGGCTATCCATCCCACTCCTCCGTGCTCCCACCTTTGCTGCTGCTCTGGCCGAGCTCGAGGCAGCCACCCCCTCCGCGGCTCCGCGGAGGGAGCAGGAGAAGGGGCGGCAGTCCCCCTCCTTCTTGCCGCCGTCGCCTCGCCCGCCGCCCTTGGGCCCCCCGTTGGAGTCACCCTTTGGCAGGGCTCGTCTCGATTCCTCCGGTTCGATTCGATTCGATTCGATTTCGACTGCTTCCGATTCCGATTCGATCTGACTTGGGATTCCCGATTTGGGTCCCGATTGATTACCGGAGGCATACTAGCCTGCCGATTTCTGCCGATTCAACTTTTCCGGACCCGGCTGCCGATTTCCGCCGATCCGATTCATTTCGATCGCCGATCCGACTCATCGACTCGATTCTGGGCTCTCCGGCCCCTTGTCGACTACACGTAAGAGTGACCCTTCGCCGGAGTGACCTTTGGTACGGGCTCATTGGGCCCCTCCCGATCGCTGAGCGCGATGCGATAGCAGCGGCCTGTGCGCTTGGGTTTGGGCCCCTTGCGCCCCCCACAAAGCCGCGCACCAAGGGTCACTCTTACCCAGGGTCACTCTTGCGCGTAGCCGACCTTGGGCCGCAACGCGGAAGCTCGGCAGCAGCTCTTTCGGCCCTTTGGTGCTCCAGCTTGCTGCCCGTCGTCGCCTCACGGAGGAGCCACGTCGGGGCGATGTCCACCCCGCTGCACGGGGCGGTGACGGCCCTGAGCTTCGCAGCCCCTCCTCCTCATCTTCCTCCTCCTCCTCCTCCTCCTCCTCCTCCCCCTCCTCCCCCTCCTCCTCCTCCTCCTCCAGGCTCGCCCTCCTCCAGGCTCGCCCTCTGGGGCGCCCGCCGGCGCAGAGGGGGCCCGCCGCCCCCCGCCCTTCCGCGCCAGGGCCTCCTGGCGCACAGTTGTCGTGCGTCCGAGCTTCGCACACGTAGGCCGACAGATGGCGCAGCCCGATCTCCACGTTGTCGTTGCCATTGAGCACGGCCTTCAGCTCGGCGTCCGAGCTGCACCTCCCCAGCTCGAAGACCAGGGTTGCCGCAGTGGCCCAAAGCGACTGCCACTGCTCACCACCACGATGTCCCTGGTACTGCTGCTGCAGCCATTTGCCTCACGCTGGTACTCCCTGCGGCCCTGATGTTCCGCTAGATCTCGACCCCTGCCCTCTTGAAGCCGGGCCGCAGTGTGTGAGCCCAGGCATCCACTTCCTGGCCGCCTGCGGGCCTCCGAAGGACCCCGAGAAGATTCCACTCCCAGCGCTGATGAAGCCGTCCAGCACCACCTTCAGCGCCTCGACGTCTGGAGGGGCCCGCGTCTCGACACGTACCCTCGCGCGGCCAGGGACGCCCGCACGGCTGGGTCGAGCATCCCTCCAGCCTCCAGCTGCGCAACACCCTGCCACAATGGGACGGCCCACCACGGATTCCCTGAGGCACTGTTGCGCATCTTCGCCGGGAGCTCCTTCGCCTGCGTCGCCCGCTGTGCTGCCGGCACGCACGCTTGCGTGCCGGGCCCTCCTGGCCACCAGGTCTTAAAACACGGCTAGGATCGGGATAAATCGCTCCAGAGCGTTCCGGAGCGCGCTCAGAGCGTTCCGGAACGCTCTGGAGCGGCCGCGGCGCCCGATACATTTTCCAAACCCGCCGAGTCTCAGAGATCTCGAGTTATCCCGATCCGATTTTGTCCCGATCTTCGTGTCGTTTTAGGTCTGGGGGAGCTGCTGCAGCTGGGGCCGCTGCTGGCACTGGAGGGAGCAGCTCCCGCGGGGGCCCCCGGCCAGGACGGGGGCTGCTGTCCGTCGCGCCCGGGCCGAGCGCACGGGAGGCGTCCGTGCTCGGGTCGGCGGCGGGCGGGGCGCTCGGGGCGCTCGGGGCGCCAGCGTCGGGCAGCACAGCAGACGGGAGCCCAGGAGGAGGCAGGGGAGGCAGCCCAGCAGCACCTCCGCCGCCTGTCCCCGTGTCGGGGGAGCGTAAGACCCGGGTTTGCCAGGACTCGGGTTCGCCATCGTTTTTTGACGACCGCGCCTCGGATTTTGACGAGGAGGAGTTTCGTGGGATGTCTGCAGCGGGAGGCCTCGTCAAAATGCAGGCTCGGCCTCGTCATTTTTGATGACGACCTCGTCGGGGATTTCCGAGTCCCCTGTACCCGGGTCTTACGTTCCCCTGACCGTGGTCCCCAAAGGGCCCACGCTCAGCGCCGCCAGCTGCGCCCTCAGCTCCTCAGTCTCACTCTCCCTGCCACAGACCTGGCTCCACCAATTGATCACGTACCGATGCAGGATCGGGGAAACGTAAGACTCGAGTACGCCGGATTTCGGGTTTGCCGACGTTTTTTTGACGAGCCAGCTTGGGTTTTGACGGCCCAGTGTTCGTGGGATGTTTGCAGCGGGAGCTCGCGTTAAATCTCAGATTGGGTCTCGTCATTTGTATGATGGCCTCGTCAGGTCAACCCGGTTCCCCCGTACCCGAGTCTTACGTCTCCCCGACAGGAGCCAGGGCTGGGCCGCGCTGAAGAGCAGGACGCCTGCCGCGAGACGCATGGGGCCGCCTCGCCCCGTCGCCGCGCTCGGGGCCGTCAGCCCCAGCACCATGCCTGCTCCTGCACGCGCCCTCGGGCCCAGCTAGCGCATGAAGCAGCTACTTGCCTGGATGGGCCACCGCACGCCTTGGCTTAAGTTGGGCTTGTCCCTCTACAGGAGGAATATCAAATGATAGTCAAACAAACAGCCTGGGGACGATTTGTTTTACTATGTTTGACCATTTGGGGTGCATTTTTGTAGTATTCTCTTGCGCAGGGTGTCTAGAGCTCCGACCACTTTATTCCGCGTTGCACACCCCCCCGCCCCCCCCCCGCGTCCCCAGCGCCAGAGTGGGACCCCCGCGCCGTGACTCTCTGCCCCGAGCCCCCCCGCGTCCCCAGCGCCCCAGCGGGAGCCCCGCCCACTGCCCCCTCCGCCACGAACGCTTTATGCTCTTGCACACCGCGCCGTGGCTCTCTGCCCCGAGCCCCCCCTCGCGTCCCCAGCGCCCCAGCGGGAGCCCCGCCCATTGCCCCCTCCGCCACGGACGCTTTATTCCGCGTCGCACCCCCCCCCCCCCCCGCGTCCCCCAGCGCCAGAGTGGGACCTCCGCGCCGTGGCCCTCTGCCCCGAGCCCCCCGCGTCCCCAGCGCCAGAGTGGGACCCCCGTACCGTGGTTTCTCTGCCCCGAGCCCCCCCGCGTCCCCAGCGCCCCAGCGGGAGCCCCGCACACCACCTTCCCCCCCCCCTCCCGTCCCCAGCGCCCCAGTTGGACCCCCGCCCCGTTGCCCTCTGCCCCAGTTGGAGTCTCCTCGAGCTCGCTCTCAGAAGCCCCTTCTTGCGGCCCTGCTTGTCCCCTCCTCCACCTCCTCCTCCTCCTCACCCTTCCGTTTTGTGCCAGAGCCATGGCACGCGTGCCATCTGTTTTTTATTTGTTCGCCTCAAGTCCGCTTGCAGGGAGACAGGCCCGACCTAAGCCTTGGCCCCGTAGGCCTTCACTGCTGCGATTGATCCTGAGAGTGCGATGGGCCGAACACTGTACTGTAGAAGCCGCTCGTCGACACTCTCACTTTCTCCTGCATCAACCTATACATAGACATAGACACAGACTTAGTTAAAGACATAGACGTAGTCATATATATATATATATAGAGAGACAACGGCAGAGATATAGACATCGACCTATACGTGCACATGCACGTGCACATATAATGTACATGAACACAGGCATATCGATGTACATACACATCTGCATATGCATATACATATAAATCATGCCATACATATACACGTAGAGGTAGAGAAGGATGTCGGCCACTGGGGCCCGCTTTTGCGGGACCAGGAAGGAGTCGGGACATCTGGGGCCGCGCACGATCGAAATCATACAAGCGAATGTATACCCCCTTGTGCCCGCCGCCAAGGCTCCCTGCTGAGGATGGTCTTGCAACGACGGTCCCGGGGGAAGCGGGCCCCCGCGGGTCCAGGCCCCTGGCCGCGGCCTCGCGGGCCCGGCCGCAGGCGCGCGACCCCGCGGATGCCCCGCGCTTCGGGACGATCGAAGTGGGTACGGAATGATGGAGGACAACGCCCAGCAGCAGTTCCTGTTCATTTTGAACAGGACTCGCTGTCCGCGCAGCCGCGGACGTTGTTCTTTGGAGACAGCAGGCTTCCTGCGCAACAGCGGCCGCTGTCGGTTTTGGACAACATTTGCCGTTCGGTATTGCACCCGCTTTTCTGTACCCACTTCGGGCGTCCACAGCGCGGAAGGTGCCCGTGCGACCGCGTATTCGTGGGATCGCGCCTGGGCCTCCAGACCGTGAGGGCGCGGATGCGGACATGTTGGCCCCTTGGCAGGGCCCGTTGGCCCCTCGATGCCGCGCCGGCCCACTGCTGCCCCCCTGCCGGAGGATCTGCACTCGCGGAGCACCACCGCCGCCTCGTCCGTGAGGCCCCGCAGCGTGGCGGACGACCGCGGCGCCGCCGGGGGAGGGGGCAAAGAAGATGACGTCCTGAGCGGCAGGTCACCGCGGGGGCCCTCGAGGTTCGAGGTTCGAGGTTCGAGGTTTGCGTGCGTTCTCGTCTGATCTCGGCGCCTCTCCAGCCTCGGGAGGAGCTCCAGCGGTTGCGCCTCGCAGAGGGGGGGTGCCAGAGTCGGTCCGAAGGGCCGCCGGAGTGCCGAGCGATGGCGGGAGAACCCGAGTCTCCCACGGTCTGATTTCTCTATTCTTTCCACGTTTAACGTAGATTTCGGCATGCGGGGCCTATTTCCGGGGCCTCAGGGCCACGCAACATGGACCCGGGACGAAAATTCGGCCGCAGGAGAGAGGGTCAGGGCTTCTGGGGCCGCGCATTGGGAAATCCACATCGGCGGATGCCAGGGCACGGCAGGAGTGTGTCGCGTCGAATGTGCGCGTTTTGGGGTGGACGCCGCCGGTGATCTGAGATCGGCCCGCATCGAACGATCTGCGATGTCGGGAAGCTGCGGCCGTTCCAGCTTGGGGACGATCCACGCTGTGTCAGAAACCGATGCCAGAGTCGTCACGACATGGCCCTGCCGTACAGCGGGGCAGCGCACCGAGAGAATACCAGGTGCTTGTCGTCCTGGTGCTCCAGGCTTGGTCGCTCCGTGTGCCTGCGCGGCAGCTTCCGCAACCGTTCTGAGACTGCTGCGCTCAGGGTAGTTGGGGGGGGGAGGGCGCCAGTCACGTCGCGACTCGCGCAGGCGCCGTCTGGGAATGCCCAAGAACTGCTCATCCCCAGACGGCGACGTCACGTAACCAGGGAGGTGTCGGGCGGGGCCAGGACGGGGACAAAAATATGTCCAGAGCGTTCCAGATCGCCGTCAGAGCATTCTGGAGCGCTCTGAGAAGGCCGCGGCGACGATATAGTCCTTCAGAACTGCCGGATCTCAGAGATCCTCGATTTATCCCTGTTTGATTGTGTCCTTGTCCTGATTTCGTCTAAGTGGGGGAGGAGGTGGGCGGGGCGGTCACGGGCGTTATCGCGAACAACAAATGATGGGCTCCAGCTGCAGCTCGCGCGCGGATTGTCAGGTTTGAGTCTCTTGCGGAGTTGTTCTGGCGACCGCGTCAGCACGGCATGTCTTGAGGATGCGGTGGGCCTATTCAGGGCTGGCCGGAGGGGCTGGCCAGGAGGGTTGGCGCCAGAGGGTTGGGTGGGGTTCTCCATAGATTTGGTTGCGGCAATTATTCGATAGGTCGTTCTTCCCATTTCCCATTGTAGGGTGACGCCTCAGAAGAGATGCCTTGGGGTCATTCTCGCAGAAACACCATGGGATATGCTTCATAGATTTGGTCGTGGGCATGCGTTTGGACGTCGTCCTCGTTGAGATTATAAGATCGCCCTCTCCAGAATCTGCCCCAGCGGCATAAACTACGTTCTCCTCGCGTTTGCATCTATATCCATCCTGTATTTCCGATGCTGCTACGGTGGATCTGGGCCGGTTGATTCGCGCCGTGTCGACGCCGTGGTGACCCTGGCGAACGCCGCCAGTGGCGTGGAATCGGCCGATACCGAATGATCGGAGGTATCCGAAACTCGCACCCGTTCAACAAGGGCGCCCTCGAGGGCGCGAAGTTATTCGCGATTCGCGGTTCGGTTCCGAGGGTTTAGAACCGTCGGAGCCTTTCGAGTGGCAGGGCCGCAGCGCGCATCAGAGACCCTTGCGCTTCGCGCAATGGCGGCCGCGGGCGCAGTGGCTTCTGCCGTCGCGCGCGGTTTTTTCTTCGCGGTCAGAATGACGACGGGGCTGCCTCGCGCGTGGCCGCGCGCGCGCGGAATTTTCTTATTCAAGATGGCCGAAGGGGCGCCGCGCGCTCGGCGGTCCGCGGCTTCGCGCATGGCGTTTGCGCTGTTAGTGCTCAACATGATATGATGCTGCAGCTGTCGCCGCGCGCCGCGTTCCTGCCCCCTCGCGCGTGGCGCTGCTCACTTGCAGGACGCCCCCCGCTCCGAGCCGCGCCCTGCCCCCTCGCGCGCTGTGGCCCCGCCCCTTGGTGCCAGTTTGTTCGCGCAGAGAGGGCCGGGGCCACCGCGCGCGCCTGCTCGGACATGACGCCCCCGTGACCGTGCCCATGCAGCGTGGGCCCGTTGACTCGGGCGCTGTGTTCTCCTAAGCCGAGGTGGCCAGGGTCGCTGCGCGCGCGGTGGCCTTGCGCCCGCGCGCGTGGCGTTCTTTTCAAGCAGATTGGGCCGTGGCCGACGCGCGCGCGCGGCAGATTTGCGCCCCTGCGGACATAGCTGTTCATTCAGGATTGGCCACGGGCGCCGCGCGCGCGGCAGCTCTGCCCCTAGGCCGCGCGTCGCGTTTTCTTCGCGCGCATCGACCAGAGCCGCCGCGCGCGCGACCGCCGCGCGCCCACGATGTTTCTCAACGCAGCACGGGCCAGGCCCGCCACGCGAGCGGCGGCCCCGCCCCTGCGCGCGTTGGATTGCATTGCCGTGCAGAACTGGCAAGAGCCACCGCGAGCGCGGCGGCGTAGCTTTCTGACGCGCCGCCGGTTTTTAAACCCAGAATTGGCTGGGGCTGTCGCGCGGGCGGCGGCTATGCCCGTTCGCGCGCTCGGGTGTTCCATTCGAGAAGGAGCAGGTCTGCCGGCCCCGCGGCGGCCTTGTCCGCCCCCTCGCGCATAGCCCTGGCCCGTTCAGAATGGGCCAGGGCCGCCGCGCGAACGGCCGCCTTGCCCCCTCTTCTCTTCACCCCCGCCCTGCCCCATTGCGAACGACGGCGACGCTCCTGCGCGCGCGGTGTCCTGTCGCGCACGATTGGCCAGGGGCGCCGCGCGCGCGGCAGCCGCGCCTCCCCCCCACCCCCCTCTCTGCCGCATGGTTCCTCCGTGCATTCAAAATGAGCTGGGGGGCCGGGAGCGCGGCGGCCCTGTCCATCGCGCGTGGCGTGCTCTCCTTCAGAAGTGGCCAGCGTCGTCGCGCGCCGCGGCCCTGCCACTGCCCGCGTTGTGTTCCCCGCGCAGACTGGGCCAGCGTTGCTGCGCGCTCGCTGGCCGCCCCGCGGCGACACCGCCCCCCGCGCATTGGGCGCGTCGGCCTCGCCCCTTCGCTATCTGGTTTGCTCTGGTCGGAGTTGGCCAGGGCGCCGCGCGAGCGGCTTCCCTGGCCCCCCTGCGCGCGTGGCCGCATCCTGTTCGCATGGGCAAGGGCCGCCACGGCGGCGGCCCAGGCCCCTCGCGCGCAGCGTCGTTCCCTCCGCGATTCGCGTGAGCCGCCCCGCGCGTGGCGTTCCTGGTCCGCCGCGCGCTGTTTCTCGTCGCGCAGAATTGGGCCGCCTCCCCCCCGCTCCGCGCAAATGTGTTATTCCCCGCGCGCGGTGGGCGGAGGCCCCCGAGCCCGCGGCTGCCTCGGCGCGTCGCGCATTTTATTTTGACGCGCCGGATCGGCCAAGGCCGTCGCGCGCGCGGCGCCCCGCCCCGTCGCGCAGTGTTTCTCTCCCCCGCGCGGCCTCGGCCAGTGCTGCGGCGCGCGCGGCGGCCCGCCAGGTCCCATATCCATTGCGCATGCGGCCCGGGGCCATCGCGGAGGCCAGCAAACCCGCCTCGCAAGCGCGGGGCAAGGGGCCCGGGGGCCGCCGCTCGCACCCCGCCCCTCCCGCGCCCCGTCTCTGGACGCCGGCGCGTGCACTCGTTTCCTCACAGCATAGTAGTTTGGCTTTTTTCATTATTTCGACTTCGTTGACCCCGCCCCAGATCTGCATATTTCCTGCGTAGGCGTGGCGCAGAATCCCCATCCTATTCATCTGTGCCCAGCGCAACACTTCTTGTTGCCTCGCCGATGGGGGCCAGTGCGCTTCGACGCGGGAAGTGCCGTCAGAGCAGCTCCTGGCGTCGCGGCAAATTGCTTGCCGAGGCAATCGCGCCGCGTAATTTGATTTGAAATCTGCCTTCAAATTGCCTCGCGCGGACAGCGGGGCCCCCTTGCTCGCGGGAAGGATGCTGCCCCCCCCCCCCCCCCCCCCAGGACTTACAACGCACATCCCAGATTTTTCCAGAGGCCATATGGGATGCGTCTGCTGGTCTCACCGAGCGCGTTCCGCCACTCGCATTGTGCCTGCTCGCAAGAGGCTCCTGGAAGCAAGCGTCTGCCTCGATGCAATGGGTCGCAGATCTCCCCCGCGACGGATTTGGGCCATTAGCGGGCAGTGGTTCTGCGAGCACAGAAGGGGCCCATGCCACAACTGACCCTGCTTGCCTCCGAAGCGCCCTGTGTTCGATGGCTTCGCGATGGAAGGCGTACCGTTCCCACGACAACAAGTCATGGACGTTTTGCGGCCTGAGGTCTTAGGGTTGGGTTCAGGCAAACAAACAATGACATAAACACAAGAATCCGGAGGTCCGCGCGGATTTCTCGGATGGGCGGTGGACCCGTGTCTTTGGCGCGCCTAGGGGTCTCCAGCGCCTACTTCCGAGTCCTTATGTTTATGTCGTCGTTCCTTCCCCCAGGTTGTTTCTGGCAGGTTCCTCGTGGGCTGGCCTCCGTTGCAGTGGGGCGCGCTTGCACGTGCGGGGCACAGCGTCGAGGAGGCCTCCGGCCTCTGGGCGGCGAGGGGCCTGCTCGGCGGGGTGCCATCGCTTTCGGCAAAGAGTGCCATAAACATACACTTAGGTCGGGCCTGTCCCCCTACAAGGGGATTTTCGACGAAAAATAACACAGGCACCCAACATGGTCAAAAAATATGCCAAGCATCGTCGGGGGACTGTGGTTTAAAGTTTTTTGTTAGTTTGAGGCACTTCTGGGGTATGTGTTGTTTTTCGTTGAAAAATTCCAGTGTCGGGGACAGGCCCGACTTAAACATACTTGCGTAGGTCGGACATCTTCCTCTACAGGAGTATTCCAAACGAGTCCAACAAATAGTCAGGGGGCGATGTTTCTACCGTTTTCTATGTTTTTTGTTTTTGTTGATTCGATTTGTTGGGCTAGTTTCGCCCCAGATCCGCCTGTGACCTAACGCTCCGCGCGGATGTCTTGGATCCGCGCTGGGCCCCCCAGGCGGCGCCTCCAGCGCCGCTCCCAGCGCGGATCCAAGAGATCCGCGCGGAGCGCCAAAAGTGTGTGTTCGAGCGATGGCAAGCTCATGGGCAACGACAAAGAGGAATGAGCTCAGGGGGGGGAATATGCATCGACCCCCCATATCCCACTGATAGCCGATAGGGGCCTGACAGCCCCACCCAGGAACGTTCGGAATTACTGTCGGGGTCTATCGCCGATCGATCGGCGATGCATCGCCCGTTCCAGGTCGATGCGTCTCCCGCCTGCGCCAGTCCCCCCCTACAGTCGAACCGAGGTACAAGATTGAGGTTGGTTCGGGGAGGGTACCCTAATGTTCGTCGTATTTGTTGGACGTTTTGTGCATCGTGGGGAGGGTACCCTCAGATGCTCTGTTTGTTTGGGCTGGCGGAGGGTCCCACATTGGGCATCGTACTCGCTTTTTGTTGCACCCATCGCTGGCGCGCCAATCTGGGGGCCCGCGTCTCGACCAAGTCGACACGCGGGGCTCAGGGGCCCCCCAACTCCTTCTCGTCCCTCCGTCCTCCTCCGGGGGGGCAGTGGCAGAATGAGGGGGGGGATGGAGGAGGAGCAGGGATGCTGCTGCGTCGGATGGTGACGGGGAGGGGGATTGGGAGAGCGGAGAAGGAGGCGGAAAGGGAATACCGAGCAGGACCCAGACCTTCAACGCAATGACTCTTTCACAGCGCGGACCCCCAGAGGACTGATCGTGACGACTCGACGGGGTCTGGGGAGGAGGAGGAGGAGGAGGAGAAGAAGAAGGAGGAGGGGGACTAATTGGATGTCCTCCCACGAGGGAGGAGGAGCGGAGGAAAGGAGGAGGAAAGGAGGAGGAGGATGACGAGGAGCACCGAGAGGGAGGACAGGAGAAATGGGGGAGGAGGACCGAGAAGGGATGATGAGACTGAGGAGGAGGAGGAGGAGGAGCAGGAGGAGCATGAGGAGGAGGAGGAGGAAGAGGAGGAGGAAGAGGAGGAGGAGGAGGAGATGGAGGAGGAGATGGAGGAGGAGAAGGATCAGAGGAGGAGTGGGGAGGAGGAAGAGGGAGGGAGGAGGACGACGAGGAGCAGGAGGAAGAGAAGAAGCAGGGGGAGGAGGAGGAGGAGGAGGAGGAGGAGGAGGAGGAGGAGCCACTGGATGTTCCTCCCCCCGAGGCACGCCCCAGTCGCAGGTCGTCAGCGTGCCCGCGCGGCCGCGAAGCGTCGCGGCCTGCTTCGGCAGCGGGCTCGGCGGCGACGCCTTCACGCCACCCAGGCCGACGAAGACGACTGCGGCGACGCCGACGACGACGAAGACGACGACAAAAACGACGACGAAGACGACGACGAAGACGACGACGAAGACGTTGACGACGACGACGACGACGACGACGACGGCGACGACGACGACGACGACAGCGACGACGCCGACGACGACGACGACGACGACGACGGCGACGGCGTCGGCGTCCGCGACGACGACGACGACGACGACGACGATGGCGACGACGACGACGACGATGACGACGGCGACGGCGACGGCGACGGCGGCGGCGGCGGTGTCGGCTGCAACCCTGGCGGCGGCGGAGGTGGTCACTGCGACGACGTCGTCGGCGACGACGGCGGCGGCGACGACGACGACGACGGCGACGGCGACGACGGCGACGACGACGGCGGCGACGGGGGGAGCTCGACGGCGGCGCCTCCGCGAGGCCTAGGCCGGGCTTGCGCGACGGCGGCGATCACGACGACGTGTGAGCGTTCTCTTATTCTGCGTCTCGACATCGGGCGGAAGTGGGGTTAAAACGACGCGTAGATCGGGACAAAATCGGATCGGGATAACTCGAAATCTCTGAGACTCGGCGGGTTTGGAGGATGTATTGGGCGCCGCGGCCGCTCCAGAGCGTTCCAGAACGCTCTGAGAGCGCTCGGGAACGCTCTGGAGCGATTTATCCGGATCTTAGCCTTGTTTTAGAGGTGGAGGGGACGGTGGCGCTCTGGGCCTTTGCTTTGCGCGACTGTTTGCAGCAGCGCGTCCTACGTATGGGGGAGGCTCCACCTGCTCGAAACAGGCGCCGAAATCGGCCAAGATCTACTTCATATGTGGAGGGGGGGGGGTGCGAGGGCCCGCGCCGCTCGGCAAAACAATGAGTTATCCCAGTGCGACCCTCCCTAAGAGTTGGAACCCCTAGGAAAGCAGCATGAGTAGTAACAGTAACGCTAAGCTAAAGCTAAGCTAAAGCTAAGCCACAGCTAAGCTAAAGCTAGGCTAAAGCTAAAGCTAAGCTAAAGCTAAGCTAAAGCTAAGATAAAGCTAAGCTAAAGCTAAGCTAAAGCTAAGCTAAAGCTGAGCAACAGCTAAGCTAAAGCTAAGCTACAGCTAAGCTAAAGCTAAGCTAAAACTAAGCTAAAGCTAAGCTAAAGCTAAGCTACAGCTAAGCTAAAGCTAAGATACAGCTAAGCTAAAGCTAAGCTAAAGCTAAGCTAAAGCTAAGCTACACGCTAAGCTACACGCTAAGCGAAAAGCTAAACGAAACGCTAAGCTACAGCTAAGCTACAGCTAAGCTAAAGCTAAGCTAAATCTAAAGCTAAAGCTCCCAGGGGACTGGGGGGAACCGCGGGGCGGGTTCTGGGGGAACCGCGCGGGGCGCTTTCCACTGCCCGGCCCCTTTAAGCTAGAGAGTAAGAACCCTTCTAGGCAGAGCCTAGGTAGGGAATAAAGAAACGATGACCTTGACCTTGACCTCGGTGTGTTCTGCGGGCTTGCAAGGAGGTGTCCCAGATCTCCCAGGATCTGGTCTTTAGTCGGGGTGTTTTTGACATCTTTCTCATCTACTTCGGCCTCCGAGGCCGGTCATCGGGCCCGCGGACCATCGGAAGACGGATCTGGGCAAGAAACCTTGCCCACAGGTTCGGGACTTGGGGGGCCGCGCAGGGAGACACATCTGCAAGAGCGCGCCCGCAGCGCCGGGAATCAGGAAAGGGGGGCCCCAGCTTCAAGCTCCCCCCCTCCCTTTCCCTTCCAAAAGGGGGCGGGGCTTCCAAAGCAACCCCCCACCTCCCTTCTGTAAGGGTTTCTAAGCTAGGGGGGCCCTGGCTAACAAGGGGAGGGGGGCTTCGAAGCTATCCCCCCCTCCCTCCCTTTTATGCCAGAGCAGAATGTGAGCGTGGGCCGCCTTTTCAAGAGGGGGGGCTTCGGAAGCTACCCCCCCTTCCTTTTTTTGTCTGGACACAGGGGGGGACGGCTTCAAGCTACCCCCTCCCGCCATCCTTTGCAAAGGTGGGGGGTCGCTTCGGGGTTTATGGCAAGACGGTAGAATCCCTGCAGACAGGTGCGCACCGCAGCGCTAGAGAATGCATTGGAGAATAACGTCGACACCTGGTTTGTTTTCTTGTTGTCTTGTTTTCTCGGCCCCTGGTTCATAGGCTCGTTTTCTCGGGCCCTGATTGCTTTATCGTTTTCTCGTTTTCTCGGCCCCTGGTTCGTTTTCTTGTTTTCTCGTGTTTTTGGCCCTGGGTCGCGGTCTCGTTTTCTCTGACCCTGGTTCGTGTTCTCGTTTTTTTGTTTTCTCGGACCCTGGGTCGTGGTTTTGTTTTCTCGGACGCTGGTAGTATTCTCGATTTCTCGTTATCTCGGCCCCCGGGTTGTGGTCTCGCTTTCTCTGACCCTGCTTCGTTTTCTCGTTCCTTTGTTTTATATACCCCTTGGTCGTGGTCTCGTTTTCTCGAACCAAGCGTTTTCTGGTGGTCTCGGCCCTTGGGTCGTGGTTTCGTCGGACCCTGGTCCGTCTTCTGGTTTTCTCGTTTTCTCGGCCCCTGGGTCGTTTTCTCGTTTTCTCGCCCCCTGTGTTTTTGTCCCATTTTCCCGGGCGCTGGTTCTTTGTCTTGGTCCCTTGGTCGCGGTCTCGTTTTTTCGGGGCCTGGTTCGTGTTCTCGTTTTTTCGCTTTCTCGGCACATGTGTCGTTGTTTCGTTTTCTCGTACCCTGGTTCGTTTTCTCGTTTTCTCGGCTCCTTGGTCGTGGTCGTATTTTCTCGGACGTTGGTTTGTTTTCGCTTGTTCTGTGCCCTTGGGTCGTTGTCTGGTTTGCTCGGACTTTGGTTTGTTTGTTTCGTTTTCTAGTGTACTCGGCCTCTGGGTCGTGGTCTGGTTCGTTGTCTCGTTTTCTCGGCTTCTATGTTTTTGTGTCGTTTTCTCGGGCCCTGATTCGCGGTTTCGTTTTCTTGCTTTCTCGGCCCTTGGATCGTGGTCTCATGTTTCCTCGGGCCCGGGTTAGTTGTCTCGTTGTCTGGTTTTCTCGGCTTTTGGGTCGTGGTCTCGTTTTCTCGGACGTTGGTTTGTTTTCTCGTTTTCCCGGGCGTTGGCTCTTTTTGCTCGTCTTCTCTGCCCCTGGGTTGTGGTCTTGTTTTCTCTGACCCTGATTCGTTTTCGTGTTTTCTTGTTTTATCGTTTCTTGGTGTGTTTTCTTGTTTTCTCGGCCCTTGGGCCCTGGGTCGTGGTTCAGTTTTCCACCGTTTTCACGTTTTCTCTGCCCCTTGGTCGTGGTGTCGTTTTCTCGGACCCCGTTTCGTTTTCTTGTGTTGTCTGCCTCTGGGTCGTGGTTTTGTTGTCTCTAACCCTGGTTTGTTTTCTCGTTGTCTCGCTTTCTCTGCCTCTGGGTCGTGGTCTCGTGTTTTTCTGACCCTGGTTCGTTTTCTCGTTTCTTGTGTTCGAGGCCCTTGGGTCGTGGTCCAGTTTTCTCGCACCCTGGTTAGGTGTCTTGTTTTCTTGTTTTCTCGGCCCCTGGGTCGCGGTCTCGTTTTCTCGGACGCTTGTTTGTGTTCTCGTTTTCTCGTTTTCCCGGCCCCTGGGTCGTAGTCTCGTGTTCTCGGACCCTAGTTCGTTTTCTCGTTTCCGCGTTTTCTCTGCCCCTTAAGGTCGTGGCGTCGTTTTCTCTTACCCTGGTTCGCGGTTTCTCTGCTTGGGTCGTGGTCTCGTTTGCTCGGACCTTGGTTCGTCTTTCGTTTTCTCTGACCCTGGTTCTTTGTCTCCTTTTCTCGTTTTCCCGGCTTCTGGGTTTTTGTTTCACTTTCTCGGGCCCAGGTTCGTTTTCTCGTTTTCTCGGCCCTGAGGTCGTGTTCTCGATTTCTCGGGCCCTGGTTCGTTTTCTCGTTTTCTCGGCCCCTGGGTCGTTGTTTCGTTTTCTCCGCCCTGGTTCGTTTTCTCGTTTTCTCGGCCCCTGGGCCGTGGTCTCGTTTTCTCGGACCGTGGGTCGAGGTCTCGTTTTCTCTGACCATGGGTCTTCGTCGTCGTCGGTCGTCGGTCGTGCGCCGTCCGTCGTCCGCCGCCGTCTTCGTATGACCTCGTCCTCGTCGTGACGACCACGACGAGGTCATACGAAGACGGCGACAATGACGGCGACGACGAGGACGACGACGACGAGGACGACGACGGCGTCGTACGAAGACGTCGAGCGACGGCGACGGGAACGACGACGGCGACGGGTGAGGATCGTCCGGCAGTGGGATTTCAAGGGAGGGGGGTGGTAGCTAAGCCGCCCCTCCCTTTTTGGAAAGGGGGGGAGGGGAGGGGAGCTTCCGGCAGGGGAGAGAAACATGGAGGGAAGGGGGGGGTCTTTCGCCAGAGGGGGGTCAAAGGAGGGGGGGGGTAGCTAAGCTCCCCTCCCTTTTTCGTAAGGGTAGCTTCCCGGTGCCGAAAGGGGGGAGGGGGGGGGCTGCGAAGCCCCCCTCCTTTCGGAACCACAGGGGAGAACCAAAGGGGGGAAGGGGGGGTAGTTTCCGGCAGAGGGGGGTCAAGGGGAGGGGGGGGGGAGCTAAGCCCCCCCTCATTTTTGAAAGGGGGGGAGGGGGGGGGAGCTTCGGAATGGCGAAAGAGGGGGGGGGGGCTAGCTTCAGGGGGGAGGCGAAAAAGGGGGGGAGGGGGGGAGCTTCCAGCAGGGGCGGTGGAAGGGAGGGGGGGGGTAGCTAAAGGGGGACCCGCCCCACCCTTTGCTCCGGCGCTGTCGGCGCGCTCTCTCACACATCTATCGGCGCAGATCGAAGGCAAGGATGTGTTCGTCGTCGAAGGGGGGAGGGAGAAAGTAAGTTGTCGCTGGTTCTTAGAGGGCTTCCCTCCTCGGGACAGCTTTCCAGCACGACTGCGCCTCAACGGGAGTTTCCCCAAGGGGTGCCCAGATCGTCTGGAACGGTCGCCGGAGACCCGAGTTGACCATGACCCAGAACCACCGGGCGTCCCAGAGGGGGGTGAGCACTGCATCCCCCCGCAAATCTCAGCGCAGGTTTTCCCGCGCCGCGTCGGCGCCCCCAGACCCCAAAATTTCTATGTTGATGCCGAAACACTTGACTCCAAATCTTCCGACGATGTCCGCGAACCGCGCCGCGCCGCGCGCGCAATTGAACATGGAAATTGGGGGCGAGGGGGGGTCGGCAAAACTTGCGTTAAGTTTCGCTCGCAAATCATGGGGCCTGGTATGCCCTCTTAATTTCCATATTTAGAGTCGATGGGCGTCGATTAGCGCATGGGCATCGATGAGTTAGCGCCGATTTGTCGTCGATTAGCGTCGATTTAGCGTCGACTACCGTCGACTTAGCGTTGAGTATCGTCGGGTCGCGAGAGCCGACATCTTGTATGGGAGGCTCCCATGAGTTGCCACCGAAGCATGGCTGGGGGCCATTGACTCCTTCAATATTCCAGATGTCAAAGCTCCCTCTTCTTCATTCAGCACATCCCCCAGCCCCCCCTCGTCCGCGCACATGCCTCGGGCCACGATGCGCCGCTGACCCCCCCCCTCTTCCCTCACCGGGTGCGTTCCACTACTCGCAAAGTGCCTACCCGCAAACGTCAGACAAACGACCCGGGCAAAGTAGCTTTCCTTTTTGGTTGGCTATGTGACCCAAGACCGTCCCAAGAGGGCCCCCAGACCCTCCCCGAAGAGCCCGAAGAGGGTCCAGAGACTCCCCAGAAGAGCCCCAAGAGGACTCCAAGAGCGCCCCACAGGGACCCCAAGAGGACCCCAGGGCATGCGTGCTTCGATGTAATGTATCGTGACCCCCCCGCGGCGGATCCAGGCCATCTGCGAGCATTCGCACTGCGAGTAGTGGAGCGCGCTCGTCGTCTATTCCTGGCCCCCCTCTTCGGCGCGCCCGCCCTCTGACCTCGACCTCGGCTTCGACCTCAACGCCTTCGCTCTGGCGCCTCTGGACGCTCTCGTGGCCACGGCCGGGCGCGGCTCGAGAGAGAGTCGGCTACGCGCAGAAGGGGGGTGGGAGGTGGGGGGGAAGGCTTCTTAGAAACACCCCTGTCTCTGAGAAGGCGCGGGCCTTCTCTGTAGATGTAGGGCAGGCGCCTTCTGAGAAGCATCCTCCTTCTAAGAAGCATTCCCCCTTCCCTCTACCCTCTTGTGCGTGCCGTCAAGAGAGCGGGCGGACCCCGGGACGCGTCCAGGGACCGAGTCGGCGCGGGTTCTGGCCAGGCGACGATGGCGACGGCGACGACGGCGACGAAGATGGCGGCGGCGGCGACAACGACGACGACGACGACGACGACGACGGCGACGACGACAACGACGACGACGTCGGCGCCAACGGAGCGAGCTCGACGAGATGGCGCCTCCGCGTCGCGCAGGCCGCAGAGCGTGGCGGGCGGTGGGGCCTCGGCAGGTCTCGCGGAGGACGACCACGAGGCCGCTGACGAGGGTCGGCGAAGCGCAAACGTGCACAATCTAGTTTGATAAGTACCATCGGTCGCTGAAAGTATGCATGTTTGGAGTCCCAGATTCCAATCTACTTGAATCGCCTTCCTACTCCAATGATTGAGTGGCTTCACCTTTTCCGTTCTCTTTAGGGGGCGGGCGGACACCCAGTTTACACCCAAACGTGCACACTCCAGTCTGAGAAGCAGGCGGCCCTGTCACATGAAGGATTCCCTTTTGCTTTGTGCGTTCGCGACCTATGCCCTCTTTATTCCTACGGCAGTGTGGCTCTCGGAAGAATATCGATAGGGGAACGAGCGATGACATGAACATCACAATTCGGAGGTCCGCGCGGATTTCTCGGATCGGCGCTGGGGCCCCCTGGCGGCGCCTCTGGCGCAGCCCCAGGCGCTCCGCGCGCTGGGGCCGAATGGGGTGGGGTCCTGGACATGTTTGGGCGCTCCTGGGCGTCTTCGGCGCTTCTTGGGTCTCTAGGAGGCTCCTCGTTGCCCTGGCTGCATCCGCTTTCTGATTCTGGCGGCATCGCACCCCTGGAGACGGGTCTGGTGGGCGAGTTTTGGCCCCGGAGCGCACATCGCCCAGAGGAAGAGGAAGCGGTCCTGGAAGAGAAGAGGCCTTGGAGGCTTGTCGCTGTGCCTGGGCCTCTTGGGGGGCCGTTCCCGGGCCCCGGGAGCGTCGCCGGCTCTGGCGCGAGGAGCTGCAGGAAGCGCCCCAGAGCCCAGGGTTCGCTTCCACCGGCACCTTTTCGCGCGCCCCTGCTCCATCATGCGGTGAGGGCCTATGTTTAAGTCGGGCCTGTCCCTCTACAGGAGGAATGTTCGAAAATAGTCAAAATATAGCGGGGGGACCATATTTTGACCTTTTTTAGGTATCGTTAGCGTATTTTCTGATATTTTTAATTTTTGCCCAAAATCGGCCTGTAGGGAGACGCGCCCGACTTAAACCTTTTTCTTCTCACTACGGGTCATGGCGGCGTGCTAGCTCAGAAGGGCGCCCCGAAGGCGACCAGGAGGGCCCCACAGGGGGCCAAAGTCGCCGCCTCACCCCCAACTCGGCCCCGTGGGCTGGGGGTCGACATGGCGCTGAGGCCGCTCTATACGGTGAGGGCCTAGGATAAGGAACCCTTGGACAAGGAATACAGGGTCTGCAAGACGGTGTAGCCACAATGGAGGCTTGGCCATGGGTATCATCGCCGCCCTCATCAAGTGAGGAATCCTCTAGGGTCTGAAGCCTCATGGGCACATTCCTGAACGAACGCCCGCACTATACCACCACTGCAGACCACAGATGCCGCCGACCCACGGTGCCTTGCTGGGCGCGGCTGGCTTCGTGCACAGCGTGCTCCCGTGATCGGCATTGGCTCGTCTCGTTGCCGATCCTATCGGGGGCGGCCATACAGGGTGTGATGATTTGGTGGGGCGATACCATGGCGGGGTCCATGACATCTCCCCCCAGATTTCACGGCACACCTTCTTATTTCAATACGTCCCCAGCCCACCCCCCTAGGCCGCGCACATGTCCCCGGCCGTGATTTGCGCCCCTCCCTCTTGGACGCCCCCTTCTTGAACGCCCCCAATAAGATTGCCTTCGCCTTGGGCCTCAGGGACAGCAATGGGCTCAAGGCTGGTGACGCTACCATCTGCTCTGTTGATGCTTCGGGGAGGTAAACTTCAGCATCGGCGCTGGTATATCCGCGGTTCCAGCCCGTCCCATTCTGGCCTCATTTCGCTGAATACGGCGTAGTTCCGATTAGTATGGCTTATTGGTGGGCTTCATTTGGCCTGGTCTGATCGAACGGCTCGTGAAACGGGCTTCAGTTGCTCTGAACCTTTCCCCCGGAGATTTCCCAGGAGACGCCTCCTAGCCTAGATCAGCCGCCTCTGGTCTGCAGCGGTGGCAGTGTCATGCATTGTTTTTTTAACTATCCAGAGGAGCACAGCGGTGAGAACAGGTAACAAGTAGACACGGAATTGCAAAGAGGAGGAGGACGAGGGAGTGGAGGAGGAGGAGGAGAAGGAGGAGGAGGAATAGGAATAATGATAGACATACTAATATAGGGAGGAGGCGGAGGAGGAGGAGGAGGAGGAGGAGGAGGAGCGGAGGAGGAGGATGAGGAGGGGGAGGGGGAGGGAGGGGGAGGAGGAGGAGGAGGGGAGGAGGAGGAGGAGGAGGAGGAGGAGGAGAGAGGAGGAGGAGGAGGAGGAGGAGGAGGAGGAGGAGGAGGAGGAGGAGGAGGAGGGGAGGAGGGAGGAGGAGGGAGGGTAGGGAGAGGGGGAGGGAGGGAGGGGGATGAGGAGGGGGAGGAGGAGGAGGAGGAGGAGGAGGAGGAGGGGAGGAGGAGGAGAGGAGAGAAGAAGAAGAGAATAAGAAGAGAATAAGAGAAGAAATAATAGAATAATAAGACGAGAAGAAGAAGAAGACGAAGAAGAAGAAGAGGAGGAGGAGGAGGAGGAGGAGGAGGGGGAGGGGGAGAGGGGGAGGAGGGGGAGGATGAGCTGGAGGAGGGGGAACGAGGGAAAGGTGGCTGGCATGCACGGCAACCGCCTCCCCTTGTGCCAAACAGGCGTGGCCGCCGCAGAGGGCCGCGGCCGGGCCCGCCGAGCTCACTCTGCGGGGCCCGGGCGGCGCTGGCGCGCGCCCTGCGCCGGCCGAGTACGAGGCGGAGCTGTACGCCCAGCTCTTCCGGAGGCCACCGCCGCAGCGGAGCTCAGAGGAGGAAAAGGTACCCATGTCCGAAGAGGAACAAACGCTATAAGCTTGAACTGCTGGCGCTCGCTCGGATTTCTTGGATCCGCGCTGGGCCCCCCTGGCGGCGCCTCTGGCGTCGCCCATTGTGCGCTCCGCGCGCCAGGGAGGGGGGTCCAGCACAGATCCAAGAAGTTCGCGCGGGCTGTCGAAAGTTTATCTATGCCGTTTTGTCTTCTTCTAATACCGCTGCCCTTGCCCCGTTTCCTTCTTGTTTGGGCCTCCTGGCAGGTCCTCGTCGGCACTGCTGGATTCGCTCCGAAGTCCTGTTCAGAACGCACCCAGGGAGGAGCGATATCGGTACCTATTGGTTTCCCCAGGAGCGTTTTCGAGGAGCGGATCGCGCTGAAGTCCCAGCCGCGGGTCGCAGTTCGGCCCGACTTGGCGCTGGCAGCCGCTGGACCGCTGGGCGGAAAGCCGCGGCCCATATGGCTGCCGACGGAGCCGCCGGCGCAGGTGAGCGCACCCACGGCGCACCCGCACAACTCCTGGTGCGTCGTGGTGCAGTGGGTGCCGCCCGTCGACGCGCCCGAGGACGCGGAGGACTTCCCTTTTGGCTACGAGGTGAATTTCCGCTCCCGCCACTCCGACCACATCCTTCAGGTCACTGGTGTCAGCGCTGAGCCCTTCGTGCGATTGCAGGACCTCGACCCTGGCCGGTCGTACTACTTCCAGGTTCGGGGCTCAAGAGACGCCTCGGTCAGCCAGAGCGCCGGCTCTTGCAGGATCCTGCAGAGCCAGGGATGCATTAACCTGGGCTGGGGTGCAGGATCCAGCAGGACTGAGCAGGATCCTGCAAAGCCCGACTGACCCTGGCTTGGATTGACCCTGGTCAGTAGTCAGACCCCCGAATCATCACGGCTCGGGGCGGTCAGGAATAGCTACAGAGTCGCGCCTCGGGGGCCCAATTCAGAGGTACACCAGACCGCAGTTGTCCCGGACAGTTCGGGCGTCCGACCCTCCCCGATCAGCAGTGTGGGGTGGGGGGGGGGAGGCAGCCAGGGGTAACAACAGGTTTGCCTCGGGGCCCAAGCCGGAGTTTCCCCGGACCGCAGCGTCCGAAGCAGATCCCCGAGAGGTGCGGGCGCGGAACGACTTCGGCCCCGGGCCCTGGAGCGCGTGGTCGGCCTCCTACGAGGCGCCGTGGCCGCCGGAGAGCCTCGGGGTGCCGCCAGCGCCCGGCGGGCCGCCCGCGCCGCGGGCGCCCGCTGCCCGCCCGGCCACGCACGCGGACGAGTCGGACGCGGCGTGGCTGTCGGGGGCGGCCGAGAGGGGGGCGATGACGGGGGGGGATCTCTCTAGGCCTCCCAGACTCAGAGGAGGAAATGGCACCCATGCCTCTGCCCTCTCTGCGTTTTCCCCTTTCTCTGGGCCTCCTGGGAGGTTCTCGTCGCCACCGCTGGATTCGCCTCGAAATCCTGGTCGGCACGCACCCCGGGAGAGGTCCCGGGATTTGCGGTATCGGTACCATTTGGTTTCCCCACAGATGGGGTCCGAGTAACTACGTAGATGGGGTCAGAGGATCGCGCATTTGCTTCACGATGTATCGCCGACGTCGACGATGCATCGCCGGTGCATCGCCGAAGCATCGCCGATGTATCGGCGATGCGGTGCGGTTATTTTTCCCCATCGAGGATGCCTTTAGGTAATTGCCTGGGTGGGTTTCATGCCGGGGCCCAGATTTCATGTTACCTCTTCCTATTTCAATACGTCCCCGTCCCCCCCCCCCACCCCACCCCTGTGGCCTCCGCGCACCTGCCCCCAGCCGTGTTGTGCCCTCCCCCAACTTGGACGGCCCCCTCTTGGTCGCCCCGAGGCTGGAGTGGGACGAGCCCTGCAGCCACGGGGCCGTCATCCTCGGCGATCAAGGGAGGAACACCCGGGCATGATCTCGCAGTTTTCGGGCCCTTTGGGCCCTCGCTTGGCCCTGGGACCGTCCAGGAACCCGGCAGGACGAAGCGCCCGTCCTGGGGAAAGGGTCCGGATTTCCAGGGGCGCGGCGCACGGAGCAAAACAGAACGTCGCATGTCTGGGAAGCCACCCCGACTCCGAGGATTGGCGTTCGCGAGACGTCACTGGCCTGGGCGTCCACCAAGCAGCCCTGCCCTGCTCGATCCCTTCCTCGGGCCGCGCCTGCGGAACGGCCTCGCTTGTCGGGGTGGGTCTTATGAGGGTGGATGTTCCTGCTCTCCAGGCCTTAGTGGGCCCTGGAAGCGACAGGGCCGTCTTTGTTACCGGTTCCGTTCTGTGTTTTGTTGCCGTTCCGACGCCGTGTTTGTTGCCCGTTCCATCGCCGTGTTTGTTACCAGTTTCGGCTCCGTTTTGGTTTTGTTGCCGGTTCCGACGCCGTTTTTGTTGCCCGTTCCATCGCCGTTTTTGTTACCGGTTCCGGCCCCAGCTCCAATCCTGGAGCCGTTTCCGGTCGCCGTTTTTTTTGCCGTTCCCATTTTCAAGGGACGACACTTCTTCGGAAACGGTGAAAAAAACGGCCCTGCCGTTTCTGGGGCCCACTAAGCTCTAGGCTATAGGGTTGAGTACGGGCCCGACCCCGACGACGAGGGTTCGATCGAAACCGTCACGACCAGCAACAACCGCACAAAGCTGCGCGTGACCGGCCTGCAGCCCAACACCGTGTACTATTTCCGCCTCTGCGCCATCAACGACGCCGGGGACTCGGACTGGACCGGCTGGAGCGATGGCCTCGCGACGCGAGGCCGGGAGCCGGTCGCGCCCGCGGCCCCGCAGCTGCACGGGGAGGTCTCCTCGAGGCTGGGGACGCAAAAGCCGTGCAGTCGGACCGAAGTAATTACCACATGGAGGTCGGTTTGGGGAGGGTACCCTAGTGTTTTTCGTGTGTGTGTGTGTGTGTGTGTGTTGGATGTTGTTGTGCATCCTGCGGAGGGTACCCTTGGATGTTCTGTGTGTGTTGACCGACGGAGGGTCTCATGTTCCTGAAGGGTGTTCTTCTGGCCCAGGTCCGACTGCATCAGCGGCACGCCGCTGTGGGGAGCCCATCCGCCTGAGACTGTGGAAGAAACACCAAGCCTTTGGCGCGCTGGCGGGCAGCAGCCCGTGTGCAGGCAGGGCGTACAGGCCCCCTTGCCCATCGCGCAGTGGCGGCCCCACCGGCAGCGCGCGGCGATGCCCCCGAGGCGGTGGGGACGCCTCGACCTCCTGCGGGGGCTGCCCCGGGGGAAGGGTCGGAACTTTTCCGGGAGTGGTTTTCTCCCTCCGAAGAGGCGAATCGCAGTGCGTTGGGAGCGGCCGGAGAGCTTCGGCTTCCCCGTCAAGCGCTACTGCGTCCGCCTCGCGAAGGCCTCAGGGGCAAGATTAGGTGATGGGCCAGTTTTCCACCACCAATTGCATGAGTAGGAGAGGGAGGAGGAGGGGGAGGAGGAGGAGGAGGAGGAGGAGGAGGAGGAGGAGAAGGAGGGGGAGGAGGAGGAGGAGGAGGAGGAGGAGTAGGAGGAGGAGGAGGAGGAGGAGGAGGAGGAGGAGGAGGAGGACCTCCCAATCCTCCCTTCTCCCCCGTCCTGCCTGTGGTAGTGGTGGTGGACAATTGGCACATCATTAGGGGTGTATAGGCTCAGGAGGGGACGCATCGGCGCCCAATCGCCCATCGATCGCCGACTGGGGCGTGTTGGCCCGCCCCACCCAGGCCCGTGTGGATTCCCTGTCGGGGGCCTCTCGCCGATCTAATCGGCGATGCATCGCCGATTCAAGCGCGATGTATCCCCCCTCCCCCCTGAGCTGGTCCCATCCTCACGTTGCCCCTCTAGGACGAGCTGTCCGCGTCGGACGCTGTGGAGAAGCACGTGGAGAGTGACAGCGAGCAGCCAGAGCTCCACTTCGACGACCTCGTCCCCCACACCGCCTACTGTTTCCAGGTGCGCGCCGAGAGTGACATGGGGTCCTCGGGGAAAGGACGGAGTTCGATACCGCTGCTCGTCTTGGAGACCCGTCGTCGCTACGGCTGGGTTCTCCTTGAAATTCTGGTCGGAAGGCAAATCAGAAGAGATTCAGGGAGTAGCAGTATCGGTACTTTTGTGTCTTTTTTGTGTTCCCCGAGGTCCTCCGAGTGGAGCGCCCAGAGCGTGCCGATCCGCACGAAGCCAGACCGGCCTGGAACCTGCGGGGCGGTGAAGGTCGTGGCCAACGAGCACAAGAAGATGCACCTGGAGTGGGAGGAGCCCCCGAGCCACGGCTCCGACGTTGTGGGGTATTCAGGGCAACGGATGCAATTCCTGGGAGGTCCACTCTTGGGAGGTCCAGGATTTTGCCGCATCCAGATCAGTCCGCGGCCTGACCCGGCGTAGCAGCTCCCCCAGTGGGGTTGAATTGTCGTTAAGTCCTTCCGACGAAGGCGACCTCCCAGCAGTTGCCTCCTCAAATGATACGGCGATGCTGTGAAGGCAGCGACGTAGTAGCTGCGCCTGCCAAAGCGGCTGGCGCCCCTTGTCGTGACCCGCGAAGCTGGCCGCCTATTTTGCCAGCCGGTACCGATGCCCTTTCCCCCGTCCTCGCCGTTGCTGAGCCTCCTTGCGGGGGGCCTCCTCGCGGCGGCCAGCGGCCGGACTCGCCTCGGATAGCCCCTGCGGGTGTGAGCGCACCCCAAGAGGGGTCCATGGAGGCGCGGCATCTCGAGGAACGACAACCGCTGCATAAACTGTCGGAGATCCACCCCGCAGACTCCACTCTGGTCCGACCGATCCGATCATATTCAGGAGGGGAAAAAACACAGACACAATTAAACGTCGACTCCCAGGACAATATGGGAAAATATGGGAAGTGGGGGGGAAGACAAAAACCCAGAAAATATGAGAAAATATAAGGAATCCTGTTATTTGTGTGTATTTATTTGTGTGTCCCACGGCCCCTTCACATAATTACGTCGGTGCCGATCGGCCCGATCCCATTCGATTCCGATATTCCTACGGTCTGGTGCGCCCCGATACTTGCATGGCGTCGTCGTGCATCCTGGCGCAGCCGATGCGATCCGATTTCGATTCCGTGCCGATGCAGCCCGATCCGATGCCTATTCCGATTCGATCCGACTTACTGATCTGATGCTGGTTGATCCTGCTCCAGGGCTGGACCTGAACGCTGTTTTGCTGGACTTCGGCTGTGTCTTGTTTTTCATTTTGGCAGGGAGGTACAGGAAAACGGGCAGAGCAAAACGAAGAGCAAAACGATGACAAGACGAACAACAACGTTCAGGTGCAGCCCTGGGGGCAACTCCAGCGCTGGGGAGGGGGGTCGAGCGCCGACCCAAGAAGTCCGCACAGACCTCCTGACGCTTGTGATGCTGCTGTCGTTTCCATGGCCTCGGACACAAGGAGGTTCCAAAGCAGGGCTTGGGATATTTTTGAAATTTCAGCAGGGGCACAACACACACAGACACATGTGACTGTCGACTCCCAAGAATATATACGAAACTATGGGGAGCGGTGGGGGAAGATAATCCAGAATATATATGAGCAAACATGGGAATAGTGATCGTTTGTTATTCATTGTTTTGCCGATCGGCGCGGGCCCTCGACCCCCCTCCCCCTCCCCCCCATGGAGTAGATCTTGGCTGTTCTTGGCACCAGTTTCGAGCAGGTGGAGCCTCCCCCATCGGACGCACTGTTGCAAACAGTCGCGCTAAGCAGAGGTCCGCAGCCAGACCCCCCCCCCTTCCCTCCCCCCCCCTCCTCTCAGAGCGTGAATTACCTACCCCGCTTTCGCTTCCAGGCAAAACCAAGTCACACCACGCGCCTCCTCGTCAAGCGGCCTGACCAGTACAGGCCGCAGTTTGGCATCGCCTGGTATCTCTTGGAAGCGAGGGTGGTCAAGAGCAAGGTAGGTTTGTTTGCCCCCCCTCTCCTCTTCCCCGCCCGATGTCGAGACGCCGAAGGAAGGGAGCGTCCACACATCCCCTCCGTTCCCTCCCCTTTCCCTTCCCTCCCCCCCCTTCCCTCCCCCTTCCCTCCCCCCCCTTCCCTCTTCCCTTCCCCCCCCCCTCTCCTCTTCCCTGCCATCTGTCGAGACGCCAGGGAAGAGGACGTCCACGCTCCGGGGTGGGGGAGCCGTGGAGGGTGCGCCGGGCCCACGGCTGCAGCTCCTGACGGACGCGGCAGCGCCATGGCCCCTCCCAGTGCAGTCTGGGGTTAAGTCGGGCGACCTGTCCCCCTACAGGGGGATTTTCGACGAAAGTTAAAAACAGACCCCAAACATAATCCAACTATAGTACCAAAATAGTCTGGGGACTATTTTTGTTGGTAGTGTTTGATCTTTTTGGGGTACTTTTTCGGTATCTGTTCCTTTTCGTCGAAAATCCCCCAGTAGGGGGACACGCCCGACAAGTCTGGGGTGCTGAAGAAGGGACCTTTTTCGTTGGAGAGGGGTCTCGGTGTTCCCTATTCGGTTCACGGCTTGCCGCAGGTGACCCGAGGTTTTCGATGGGGAATCGAGGCTTCACTTGTGGGAAGAAGGGGCCTCGTTTTTGTTTTGGTTTAGGGTTCGTTAGGTCAGGGCCCCGACGGTACAGTCAAGACCCTGAAAGAACGACGATGTTGGGGTGGAGAGGCGGTTCGGGCTTTCGGGCCGGTCCTTTGTATCTAGGTCGTGGAACTTGTTCGTGGCCGAAGCTCACCGTGTACAGAAAAGTTTCTTCGTGTTTCATCCATCGTTCCATCTTGTAGCGCGATGGTTGTATAATATCTCTCCTGCTGTTCCCCCGCAGAGATGAGTTTTTTTTTTTTTCATCTAGGGTCTCCAGAAATCTCGACCCACTCCTGGGGGCCAGCTTTTTATCGTGAGTCGTTTTCTGACTGCCACGGGACCTGCCGAGGGCTTCCAGATGCCGAAAGTGGCGAACCATCTCCGCTGTGATTTTTGTCAACACGTTTGACCTTTGAGCCCCAGGTATGTCCTGCGGTGGTCCAGCAGCCCGGCCTTCGACCTCGTGGGCGGGTCGGTCGAGCTGCCCGCGAGCTCTCTGGCGCCCGCGCAGCCAGGTCAGGCCGGGCAGGGCGGCCTCGTGGCGCCGCTGGCGCAGCCCTCGCTGGGCTCGGTCGCGGGCGGCGCCGTGGCCCAGCCGCAGCTGGGCTCGGCGCTGGCACCGGTGGCGCAGCCCTCGCTAGGCCAGGGCTCCTTTCGGCTCATGCGACTCGGCTCGATTCGATTTCGATCAGTTCCGAGTCCGATTCGATTCGACTTCGGATTCCGATCTGGAGTTCGGTTGATCAGATTGATTTCGATCGCCGGTCCGACCTATCGATTCGATTCTGGGCTTTCCTGCTAGGCTCTCCTCTGAGATCCGGGCGAGGTTGCCGTGTTCTGGGCCCCAAGGCCATCACAGATCGAGCCAGCTCACAAAATGCCGCAGAAAGATGGGGTCCAGGGCTCTGGTCGCATTTGTTCGAGATCTTGCAGTACTTAAGCTTCTGGTGAGAATGCTCCCCAGGAGAGGCTTGGGGCGCAGTGATATCGGTATCTTTTGTCCCCACAGGCTCGGCTGCGGGCGGCCCCGTGGCCCAGCCGCAGCTGCGCTCGGCGATGGTGCCGCTGGCGCAATCCTCGCTTGGCTCAGCCCCGCCAGCCCAGCCGCCCGTGGCGGCGCCGCTGCCGCCGGCGCGGAAGCCGCCTGGCGCCGCTGCCGCGGGCAAGGCGTCGCACTGCCTGGAGGGCAAGTTCCTTCCAGGAGAGCAGGTGTACTTCCAGGTGGGCGACGAGACAGGAACGGAGCCAACTGCGCCGACATTCGCGCTTTCTCTTCCCGCGTACGGTCGCGCGTGAGCGCCTTCGTTCCGCACGCGGGGTGCTGCGCTGGCGGCCCGCGTAAGCCACCGCGTAAGGTCGCTATGCCATCTCGCGTAAGACCTGTTGCTTTCCGTCGCGCAGGTGGTGGCCAAGAGTGCGGCCGGGAACGGCGAGTTCTCCAAGGCTTCCGAGGCCGTGAAGTCGTTGGCGCACGTGCCCCAGCAGCCCAGCCCGCCCACTTTCCGGGAGCAGACGTCTAGCTCCGCGGTCGTGTGCGTGCTGGACACTTGCCACGACAGCGGGAAGCCTGTGCTGGGATACGAGGCGCAGTACGACGTCGACCCGATGATGCCACAGCCCATATGCCTTCCGGGTCGAATGAAGCTCGTCCGCGAGTTCCAGAAGCCGGGCCCACCAAACTGGGAGCCCGAGCAACCGAGTCTCTACGAGCAGGTCGTCAACGGCTTCGTGAAACCCGGGCCGTACTACTTTCGGGTTCGCGCCATCAACGAGATCGGCCCTTCTGTGTGGTCGCCATGTTCAAACCCGCCGCTGATGCTGAGCAGGGCCCAAGCCAACGGGGAGGGAATCTCAAAGCCCGGTGCGCCCTGGCTTGTCGAGGTTGAGAGCACCACCTGCATGCGCGTCGGCTTCCAGCCCACTGTGGACCTCGCGATGCGAGGCGGCGGCGGCATAAGAGCGTACGAGATCCGGTATTCGCGCTGGCCAGAGGCGCTGCAGGAAGAGGACGACGCTGGTGGCCCGAATGGCGACGGCGATGTGGAGGCCGAGGAGTCGAGGCCAGGGTCGCGGGCATCGTCCCTCAGGCCGCCGAACGGCGTCGCGGTCGTGCTGCTCGTTCGCAAGGTCTGTTTCGACCAGCTCGTGTCCAGCCCAACGCTGCTGGGCCAGTTCAAGGCGCGCCTCCGCGAGGGTATCGCGAAGGAGGCCGGCGACAAGGTGAAGCCCGAGATGGTGGACCTCACCATCGCTGAGGAGAGCTTTGACACCGTGCTGGTGCTCGGAGCAGGGCGGGTTGATGAGACAACAGGATTTGGACCTCGGGGGCCCCCTCGTGGACACGGCTGGACGCAGCTCGGAAGGCTAGTGCGTTCGGACCCAAGGAGTGGGTCCAGGGCTTTGCTGTCGGCCCACATCCCAAACATAATTTCGAGCATCCAGAAAGTATCGAAGCAGTGTCCGCCCGACACGCTTGCGAAGTGTCGAGCGAGTATCGCCTCCCAGGGCGCGACACGTGGTCTCTTGGTGCTCGAGACTCTGTCTGGTGATCCAGGCGACAGGGAGTTGAAACATCATAGGGCCAGGGGCCGATTTCGGACTGCCCTTGTCTCAAGTGGCCCACCGCCGAGGTGCAGTGCGCGCTGTACAACCTGCGCCGGGGGGCCGTCGTCCACGAGAGGCTGCAGCAGGCGGACCTCGAGGCGGTGCTGCGGGAAAAGCTCGCTGCCGTGAGCGGGATCGACGCGGTGACCACCGGCTTCCTGCACATCTCGGAGGAGGGTGAGTTGAGACCACTGCGGCGAGCGAAGGGGTGGAAGTGAAAAGGAGGATGCCTTCTCGGAAGGCTCGGCCACGCGCAGAGGGAGGCAGGGGGAGGGGGGAAGGCTTCTTAGAAGCACCCCCGCTTCTTGGGAGGCGCGGGTCTTCTCTGTAGATGTAAGGCCCGCGCTTTCTAAGAAGCAGCCTCCTAAGAAGCCTTCCCCCCTCCCCCTGCCCCCTTCTCCGCGCCGCCAAAAGGCAGCGGGGCTTCTCAGAAGCCATCCGGCCTTTGAGAGGTTTCCTTTGCATCTTCGGGGAAGGCTTAAAGGCACTTCTCGTGATGGGTTTGTTTTCCACCACCACCACCACCAAAAGTAGGAGGGGGAGGGGGTCCTCCTCCTCCTGCTCCTCCTCCTCCTCCTCCACCTCCTTTCCCCCTCCAACTTATGGTAGTGGTGGTGGAAAACAGGCCCATCATCTCGGAAGGCCGGAGGACTTCCGAGCCTTCCGAGACGCTTCCTTGCTTGCCCCCCGTGCTGGCCGCCGGGAGACGACGTCGGCTCTCTCTCCCGGCCCCCAGCCGCTCAGGAGGAGTCGACACATTAGGCTTCCTAGATGGGGTCGGAGTAAATGGGGTCGGAGGATCGCGCCGCATCGCCAGTGCATCGACGATGCGGCTCGATGCGAAGCCCGATTTTCTCCACGCCAGCGTCGCCGATGCATCGCCCACGTCGACGATGCATCGCCGGTGTGTCACCGATGCATCGCCGATACATCGCGGATGCATTGCCGACCCCACCTACTCCGACCCCATCTAGGAGACCTCTAGACATACAAGTAAGGGTGACCCTTCGCCGGAGTGACCCTTGGTGCAGGCCAATCGGGGTCCCCCGACCGCCGAGCGCGATTGCGATAGCAGTGTCTTGTGCGCTCGGGTTTGGCCCCCGCGCGGCCCCCAAAAATCCGCGCACCTACAGGACGAGGATTAATCCGTTCCAGAGCGTTCCAGAACGCTCTCAGAGTGTTCCAGATCGCTCTGAGAAGGCCGCGACGCCCGAGACATCTTCCAGAGCCGCCAGATCTCAGAAAGTCACGATCTATCCCCACCCGAATTTATCCTCGTCTTGGTTTCGTATTAGCACTCCTACCCAGGGCCATTATTACCCAGGGTCACTCCTGCGCGCAGCCGAGCAATTCAGAAAGGAAAGAGTTCGCCCGTGGAACACTCCTTACAAAAAATGGGGCCCCAGCTCCAAGCTACTCCCCCTCTGGAGAAGGGTGAGAGAGAGAGAGACAGCATAGAGGTGTCAGGAGCGCCCCTACACCTCCGGCCTTGCGCCGGGCTGTGGAAAACACAATGTCGTCGTCAAGCGTCGGTCCAGCGTTTGTGCTGTCCGCCTCGCTTTCTCGCAGCTGGCACCCTATGCCACGGCGCCCAATTGAGCGCTCTCCTACTCCACAGGCTGTCTGCGCAGACGGAGATCTTGTCGGCCAGGGCCTTTCTCGCCTTCCTGAAGAGCGCGGTCCAATCCTCCACTCCGAACTTGGTGGCAAGCTCCTCGCTGATGTGAGTGGCCCGCTTGACGTGAGAGACCCACGGTTCATCTGCTTGGCGTCCAACGCGTACCATTTTGGGCAGCATGTTGTGCTGTGTCGTGCGAAGCTTCTTCTCTTGGTCCACGGTCAGAGTCCAAGTTCCCGCGGCATGCATCACGCTTGAGGTGACGCAAGCATGGAACAAACGCATGCGATGCCGGAGAGGTAGACGTTGCTGGCACAGGATATCCTTCAAGCGGGAGAGTGCTGCCCATCCAGCAGAAACTCAATGCGTGAGCTCTGTCTCGCGGTAAGCATCCAAATTAAACTTCCTGCCCAAGTATTTCTTTGACTCCCCCTGCTGAAGGACCCGAACGTCGTGCCCCATGCATCTCACGGTGGACGGTCGCGGAACAGCGTTTGTGAGTATCATCGTCTTCCCCATGTGTACCTTTAAACCATACCTGTTCGCCTCAGTCTCCATGTCCACGATCATTCTGGCTACGTCCCTCTTGTTTGTGCACAGCAGGAGAACGTCGTCCGCAAAGCGGAGGTTCGTGAGGGGCAGGTCCTGGAAGTCTATGACGATGCCGTAGTGCGGCCCCGTACGGCGTTCTTTCAGACTCTCCCATCGCGCCTTCAGCTTCCTGAAAATAGCCTCCATCACGACCACGAACAAGTAGGAGCTGATAGGGTCGCCCTGCTTGACCCCGCGTGAGATTTCAAACTGCCTGCTCCATGTTCCGGTCATTACTATGGCCCCCTGCTTCGCGTAGAGTCTCTTCAAGATGTTGATGTAAGCGTGCGGGACGCCTTGCTCTCGTAGTACCGCCCATAGCGTGTCGTGCTCCACCGTGTCGAATGCTTTCTCGAAGTCCACCATGCCGACCCAGAGCTCCACGTTGTAGTCCCTGCTGCCCTCGAAAAGGAAAGTCGTGCACAGCAGGTGGTCCACCGTGCTGAAGCCCTGCCTGTGCGCAGCCTGGTCGACCGACTGTCCACGAGCAATGACCCCGCGAAGCCTTCCGCAGAGCATCCGGCTGAACAAGTTGTACTGTATTGAGAGGATTGCGATTGGGCGGTAGTTTGAAGGTAGCGTGGGCTCTCCTTTCTTGTATAACACATTAATTCGAGATGAGAACCAATCTTCAGGGATGTCCTGGGATGGGTTCAGGATTGCATGCAAGCTCTCCAACACGAGGTACCGCAACACGCGGCACTCAACCTTCAACATCTCAGCGCATATGCCGGAATCGTCCCCGGACTTGCCGTTCTTGGTCTGCCGGATGGCGTCGTCTAGCTCGTCGGCGGTAAAATTTGGCACTCTGTCGTTGCCAATTGGCTTGTACACGCTTTCTCTACTGCTTGCCCGCGTTGTCTCGTACATTTTTTCATAGAATTTCGCGAAGACCTCCGCGATGGCCTGCTTATCGTTGTGCGTGATCCCGTCCTGGCGCTTCATCTCGATAATGTGTCGCTTCTTATCATTGCCAGTCAAAGAAGTGAGTCTCTTGATGCCGCGGAAATCGCGAAGTATCCCGTCGATCTTGCTAAGGCACTCGACGGTTTGCCTTTCTCTGATAAGTTTCTGCATGGCCTTGTCCAGCTCCAGGCGTTTTTTCTTCGTCTCGTGGGGTGCCAGACCAGAATCACGCAGAGTCCTTCTTTGAAGGATCATCGATTGCATCTGGACGTCTGCGTGGGAACCCTGAAGACGATGAGAATTTGCATATGGAGTCTCTTGCATATCTTTTTGCGCGGCTTCCCGCATGCACCGGTTGAGGTGGGCAACTCTTTCAGCTGCGTCGCAAGGTCCCCAATCGACGTCGTCAAAGGCGGCTCGCAACGCAGTGACATAAGACGACCCCGGCTTCCAGGAACCACGTCTGCGTTTCCTCCCCCTTCTCCTCGGCGCGCTGGGTCTGAAAGCGCACTGTAGTCTGACTGGTCTGTGGTCTGAGCCAAGGCCTACAGTTGCATCCACATGACAGGAATTCACGTGGGAGCGCAGGCTAGGACCCACCAAGATGTAGTCCAGCTGGGCACGCCGTTCGGCATTCCGGTAAGTCCAGGCATCGTCGTGCGAAGACGCCCCAAAAGAATGTGTAATGGTCATGTGCTTGATCATACACCAGTGGACGAGCGTGTCCCTTCTCTCGCTCCTTTTTGGCATGGGGTTTGTGCCAATCACCTCAGGGTCGTCGTACTCATCCTGGGGCCCGATCTCCGCGTTGAAATCCCCAGCTGCAACAAACATGTAATTTCTGTTTCGGGGTTCCCAGAGATACTTATCCATCTGCCCGTACACTTCGTCGACATCCTCGTCGCTCATCTTGGCGTGGGGCATATACACAGCGGTTACTCGAATCACACCCACTCAGGCTAAGATGTCGTCCAAAGTGGCAAACCTCTTTGAAACAGGAGTAAACTGTTTGAAATCCCAGCGTTGATGTAGAAGAAAACCACCACCACGAGATCTATGCGTACCCCCGCTCCCGAAGAATGTATGCCCATCTGTAGTGTCCCATGCTTCTTTTCGCTCTTCGCGCCATGTCTCCGCAAATACAATCAGGTCCCAGTGCTGGTCTTCAAGTTCTCTCAAGCATCTTTCGACGCGCTCGTCGAAGTTGATGAGGGAATGTACGTTGTACTCGTATATGGTAAAACTAATGTCGTCGCCTTCTGCCCCGTTGTCCCCGCCTGTGGTGGGCGGCGGCGTGGAAGGAGCTGGGGCAGAAAAGGAATAAGTAGAAGACGTAGAAGACGAAGAAGACGTAGAAAACGTAGAAGATGTGGGAGACGTAGATGACGTGGACGACGTAGAATACCATGTCCTCGCAGCTTGAGTGAGGTTCTCCCCTGAGCTGGAATTGTTGGAGTAGGGGTCGGAGTCATGAGCTGCACGCTGCAGGAGACCCAAAATCTCTTCCCCAGGGTCGCTCGGAGAAGTCCCCTGGTCTGTACCACCATGATGTGAAACTTGTGGCCGAAGGCTAGTGCGCAGGTCGGGGAATACAGACGAGGCTGGGAGGGGATGTGTTGGTAGTGGGTTGGCCCCGGCTCTCCATTGTACATGGAACGGTGGTTCTAGTAGTTGGTGAACCGTGTTATGAGGTATTAGGGCAAGTGGCTGCCGCAGTAGGCTCTCGTCTGATAGTCATTTGGATTTATGACCCTTCCCCGCACCCTTGGTCTGGCTGATGGCCTTCGCCCTGGTCAGTTTCCCCTGGATGCCCTCAATGCTGTCGGAGAGTTCCTCGGCTTGCTGGATAAGGGGGGGGCTTCGAAGCCCCCCCCTCCCCCCCTCTTGTTTGCATGTGTGCCGCTCAGAAGGAGCACCCGGACCCCTCCGGGGGTCCATCCCATCGACGTATCTCCTATTAAATTGGCCCTCCTCCGGACATCGACGACGTGCAGATCTCGGAGGCCGAGCCGCAACTCGCCCTGAGCGCGGCGGCCCTGGCGGAGTACAGGCCGGTGCGCCGCCTCGAGCTGCCGGCACCCTGGAGCACGTCGCCAGACCCCGTGCGGATTGGCGGCTTGAGCACGGGCCGCGCGTACACGTTCCAGATGCGCGCGCTGACGGACGCCGGCCCCGGCCCCTGGAGCTCGGAGGAGGAAGAGGTGCGGGTACCGCCGCCCTGGCTCGAAGAACAGAAGACGGCACGAGCATGATTTCTCTGAGTTCCGCGCGGACTCCTTGGCTGGGCCCCCTGGCGGCGCCTCCTGCGCCGCCCCTGGCGCGCTCCGCACGCCTGGGAGGGGGGTCCAGCCCAGCCCAGCGCCGATCCGACAAGTCCGCGCAGACCTCCGAGAAAGCATGTTTCTGCAGTGTGCTGTTCCTCGACTTGCCTCGTGTTCGCCTCTGTCTTTGGGTCTCCTGGAAGGCCCGCGTCGCCACGGCCGGTTCCGCCTCGAGCTTCTCGTCAGAGGGCCCCCCCGGGAGAGGTCGGAGGCCGCAGCAGTTGTGTCCGTGGGGTGCTCCAGGAGCAGCGCCTCGGCGCTCTTCGGGACCAAGCCGTCGGCCCCCGAGAGGCCGAGAGCTCCGTCGCGCACGTTCTCGGAGAGCAACTTCAGCATCGAGCTCAAGATCTTCTTCCCCGAGGCGAACGGGGTGCCCATCACGGGCTGCCGGCTCATGCGCCAGGGCCCCAACTGGAGCCACAGGCCGCAGGCGGAGGACTGGCAAGAGGTGACCTTCTCGGGCGGGCGCACCGTCCTCGACCAGATGGACTGCCTGGTGGAGCGCCGCCCCAACCCTCACTGGAAGGAGCTGGACGCAACCGAAGCCTGGAACCTAGAGTGGCGGCACACCCTCAACGGCTTGCCTGCCGGGGCCTCGTTCCGCTGGAAAGTTTGCTGCATCAACGAGGTGGGCTTGGGAAGCAAGGAAGTGGGTCCTCGAGCTTGTTCCCCCTAGAGACGCGAAGGTGAACGCGCTTCGGCTTTCGTGGCTCTTGTCCTTCTCCAGGGCGTGTTGCGAAATGTGGGAAGGTCTTCAGCCGATATACATACTTTAGCAGGTGATGCCAACGTGTGGACTCCAGACCGGTCATTCGCGCCACAAGTGTTGAATCGTGCGTTATATTGTATGGCCCCCAGGTGTGTTTGGGACCCCGTGTGTGTGGGGTGGGGATTCTGCATGTGTGGAACATCAAAAGTGTGCATACCCATGTGTGCGTTCGTCTGTGAAGGTGCCCATGTGCGTGGAACAAGTTGTGGAATCCACTGTTCGTGTGAGTGCGTGCGTGGGTGTGTGTGTGTGTGTGGATCCCCATGTGGAACATCAAGTTGGTGGAGCGCCATGTGTGCGTGTTTGTGTGTGCGTGTGTGTGTGTGTGCGCGTGTGTGTGTGTGTGTACGTTTGTGCGTGTGTTAACGTGTGTGTGTGTGTGTGTGTTTGTGTTTGTGTTTGTGGAATCCCATGTTTACAGACACCATGCGTAATCAACACAATCCGCATAACACCTCACGTGCGTGTGTGTGTGTGTTTGTGATACCCATGTGCGCGTGTGTGAAAAACATCTGTGCACCTGTGGGACCTCTTGCGCCTGAAAATAATGTGTATGAAACCTGACGTGTGAAAACAAACCCTGTTTGTGTGGGTGTCGAGCCTAATGTGTGTTGTGCGTGTGTGATCATGCGTGTGTGAGTTTTGATCCCCATGTGCTAAGTTATGTGTGCGCGTGTGTGTTGTGCAGTCACTCTGCCTAGCCGCCGACGCAAAACTGTTGTAATTATTGCGTGAGGGTAACCACATATCACATGTGCCCTTGTGGACTGAACTGAGAGGGACCAGAAGCCACGGCGTGAGGAACAGCATGGGGGGTCAACATGGCGTGGGACACAGTGCAGGGTCCATTCTGACCCGATCGATCCGATTTGGATGTCGATTCTGTCCAGCCCGTTCCGATTCGGGTTCGACATTCCGATGGTCCGACGCGGCCCAATGCTCGCATGGCTCCGTTGTGCATCCTGGCGCGGTCGATCTGATTCGTTCTCGACACCGTGCGGACGCAGCCCGATCCGACGCACAGTTCGGTTCGATCCGTTCTCCGGAGTCGCTGCTGACCGATTCTGCAGTGGGGTTATCTGCACAGGCCAAGGGCTTGCGTGTTGGCCTGCCTACTGCAGGCAGGCCCCTGCGTGATTCCTGGTTTGCTTGGTACATGTGGTTGTCAGTCAGCGCCCGTTGATAAGACAAAGCGACGGCGACGCCAACGATGATCGCGATGAAAGTGGTGATGACGCCGATGCCGATGGTGATGACACTGGTGGTGTGAACGATGACGACGGTGGTTGTTATACTGTCGATGGTGATGAGAACGACGGAGGCAACATGACGCTGGCGATGATGATGATGACGATGCTAATGCTGTCAATGATGATGCTGATGATGATACGGATGCTGGTAATTGTGATGGTGATGGTGATGGTGATGGTGATGGTGATGGAGTTGATGATGGTGATGATGATGATGATAATGAAGAGGATCAAGATGAGGATGAGGAAGTGCGCACGCAGGAATTGGGTGAGGGCGACGTCATCGACGGCGGCGGTGATGATGACGACGATGGATGGCGATGGCAATGATGACGAGATATAGTTTGTGCTGATAAGGATGACGGCTAAGCGCGCGCCCGCTTAAGATCAGAAACCTGGACATTGGTCTTTGTTTACATGCGAATTGTCTGCCTCGAATGTCGTTGAGGCCGCTTCCATTACATTGTTGCTCAAGACTGAACGGGCCCACGCCCCGTGCTGGCCGCCATCTCCCCTTTCTTAGGATACGCGTCCCAGATCACTGTGTCATATCTCTCGCTCTGCCCGACAGCGCCTCCGTGTCCTGCCTGTCCCAGCTGGCCGACGCTGCACCCCTGCCCTCCGTGTGCGGCGTGCCCAGCCTGCCCCGGGGCGCCGCCGCCGATCGCCGATCGTGCAGGAGTGTTCCGCCGCTGCTGCCCCCTCGCCGCAGGAGGTCGCTCCGCCGGGAGGGCTGGGACCGGCTGCGCTCGGGTGCGCCCTCCTGCTCGGGGTGCTCGCCAGGAGTGCCGTTGGTTGTTTGCTGTCCTCGGGCTGCCACCTGTGCAGGCGGCGTTGGGCCTCGACGTGCTGTTCGGTGACTTCAGATGTCAGCAGCCCAGCCAGACCGCTGGCTCTGGGTCCTGTTCGTCGGCGACCCGCTCTGGCATCAGCGTCTGGCGTTGGGTCGATTGCGGCGACCGGTTCCGACTCCGAATGAGGAGTGGCGCCTCATCATTTGCACGCCCGACGGGGATGTGTACGATGAGGACTACTCCAGGAGGTCGGCGGACATCGCGGCGATTCGTGTGTGTGTGTGTGTGCTGATCGGAGTCGACCGCCAGGCATCACCGCCCAGGATAGCTATCGCTTCAGGCGGGCTCCCACGGCTGCAGAGGTCACGGCATACCAGGCCGCGGGTGAGACGTACGCGGCGGCGGCGCTCGCCTCCGAGGCGGCCGTGGCGGGGCTCTCCTTCGTGGCGCCGCGTGCGGGCTGCCTGGTGCTGCTGGGCGCCGACGGCGCCGGTGGGCTTGGCGCTGCCGCGCCTGTGGCCGCGGCCCGCGCGGCGGGCGCTGGTGCCATCGTGCCCGCGGAGCCTGGGGCTGCGCCTCCTGCTGCGATGCCCGTCGGGCCTGCAGCTGGAGCAGCCGCGGTGGCGGCGCCCACCTGGGTCGCGGTCGAGAGCACCACCTTCGCCAAGCGCGGCGAGGCGGTCCAGCTCCCGGCGAATGCGATGGTGCAGGGCGAGCTGGCCATCGTGCAGACCCCCGCGGGCCTCAGTGTTTTGCTGCGGAACTTCGGCGCCATGGATGCCGAGACCTTCGCTGCCCTCGAAGATGTTCGTGATCCTCATATTCTCGATGGTTCCTCTCACATGCCTGCTCGGCCTCGTCGCGGCTGGAGTGACGTACGCAAGGAGCTGGAGGAGCTCCCGTACGTGAATTGGCCCGTGCCGGGCCCAAGGGCGGTGAAGTGGTGTGCGGAGTGGCTGGACCGACGATCTTCTTCTCCAGTTGCTCATCACAGGCAGTTCCTCAGCGTGTTCTCCTTGAAGCCAGACTCCTGGGGTGTTGGGATGCATGCCGCGGCGCGTCGGGTGGTCGAGGAGACTGCCTGTTTCGATGGTGCGGACATCTACGATCTGGCAGGGATCGAGTCGCTCATGCGCAAAGCCCAACTCGCCGAGTATGTCGACTGGGCGGGGTCGATGGGTGCAGCCGAGAGGAGCGGCAACAAAGAGAAGAAGCCACCAGCTCGACCGTGTCGTTCGTGGGGTTGATGGACGAAGCCGCGATCTTCTCTGGCCTCAACAAAGACACCGGCTCGGCCACGGTGTGTCCTGCTTTGCTCGATCACGTCGCTCGAGAAGTCGGGAAGGATGCCGCGATATTGAAACAAATCCGAAAAGCCAAGGAGGAGCGGGCAGCGCTCCTCAAGAAGCAATGATGATGCTCCCCCACGGCCCAGGTGAAGCCTCCAGCCTGGTGCCCGATCGAGAAGCTTCTGATCGCCGTGAGATGCAATAACTACCTCTTTTTGACACGGCCTGCGGTTCTGCTTGTGAGCGGCAGCGTGACCTTCTCCCTCTTCCTCTCCACTGCCTTCATGACGTGGGTCAGCCCTCGCCAGTTTTATCCCGGTCCGGTCGCAGGCGACATTTCCGCCAGGCCCACTCGGGCCAGTTTTGCCGAGACGTTGCCTCGAGTTTAAATTAACTTTTTTCGGGAGGGCCTGCTGGATCAGGACCAGTGCGAGGCCTTTCGTCGCATTCGGCGTGCCGTGGATCGTCTTGGGCCTCCTCCTCCTGACTTCTCTGGCGTGGGGACACTTAGTGTGATCTGCGCCCGGCGCACGTATGGTGGTGAACCGGCTACCTTGGCGCCGATCGGCCCAGACAATGTCTGCCTCCTCGACCGGCCGGCTCCCGGTTGTTTTCCGAAGCCTTTGCGGGCCCTTCTGGGCTCGGAGGGTGAATCTTTGGTCGAGAAGCTTGAAAGCAAGATTTTTCCCGAGCGCCTTGCGCGCGAGAAGATGGCCCTCGATGGCACGGGCCGGCCCCGAAGCAGGCCACGACAGGCTTATGGAGGTCCCGAGAAGGCCCACGATGGTCCAAAGAAACCGTGGGAACGCCAAAGCTGCCCTCAAGACGGCCGACGAGGACTCCAACGCGCTCCAGGACGGACTCACGAGGCTCCCCAAGAGGGCCCTGCGAGGCAAGATTCGCTCATTCCCCGATGGTCTTTGAAGGATTTGGGCGTTATTGCTTCCCCTGCTTCCCAGCGCTCCCTCGCGGCTTCGGAGGCCCTTCAGATCGCTCCAAGACGGCCCAGGAGGCTCCCCAGATAACCCAAGTGTGCCCCAATAGCGCCCCAACAGGGTGCCCAGATGGGGACCGCCAACCGACATTTCGAAGTCTCTGGCCCTGGAGGCTGCCAGTAGGCCCCTGGAGGCCACCAATAGGCTCCCACGAAGCCCCGTAAGGCGTCCAAGAAACCCCCAGGAAGCCTCAGAGACCCCCAAGGGGCTCCCAAGGAACGCCCAAGAGGCACCCGACACACACCAAGAAGTCATGTCCCCAGAAAACCTTCCGGGAACATGGTTCATCATGAGCACCAGAGTTTCCGGTGGCCCCCAAGGGGTCCCCAGGGAACGCCCACCCAAAAGGCCCCCCAACACACCCCAACAAACCGTGTCTCCAAAAAGCCTTCCGGGGACATGGTTCATCGTGGGCCCGCGAGTCTTCAGAGGTTTCGAAGTAACATCATGCTACAGGAGAGCTGTCTGGGAAGTTGATCGTTTCGCACAAAGTCCGTACGTGCCCTCTTGAAACGACGACGAAGACGAAGACGACGACAACGAAACGACGAACACGAGGACGACGACGACGACGACGGCGCACCCCAAGAGGCGACGACGACATTTTGACGACGACGACGGCACGCCCCAACAGGCTCCCCAACACGCCCCCCAAACCCATGCTCCCAGAAGGCCTTCTGGGAACCCGATTCATCCAGCCTCCGCCCCCGCACGCAACCATTTTTTTCCCCCGAAGCCTTTTCGGAATGCGGATTTGCATGTGTTGACTGTGATCCGCTACTTCAGTTGAGCAGTGAATTCGTCAAGGCCTGGGGCCTTGACACACACACACATATATATATATATATATACACAGAAAATATAAACATATACATGTACATATCCATCGGCAAATACATATATTTATATATGTTTGACGTGATTGCTTCACAACGTGAGCCCCCAGAAGTCTGGAGCTCTTCCTGGGGACCAGCTTTTCGTCCTGCGTAATTGTTGACCGGCCCCGAAGCCCAGTGAGGGCCCCCTGGAAGCCAAAAATACATGTCAACAGTCTGGCGTGACTTTGTGACGACCCGAGGGGGTGCAGGTATCTTCTTGCATCAGGAATCGGAAGAGCCCGCGAGGTGGGCGAGAGCGAGTGGAGCGAGCCCTCCGAACTGATGGCGACGGACCCGAACGTGCCCGACCAGTGCCTGCCGCCGGTCATGAACGACTTCGAGGCCGACCGGACGCCCAGCTCCATGCGGCGGCGCGCACGAGGGGCCCGAGGAGAAAGCGGTGCCCATGCAGCTGCCCTTGCCTCGTTTTCGCCTCCTCGCGGCCTCCCAGGAGTTCCCTTCGTCGCCACGGCCGGATCCCCGCAGTCGTGGTCACAACGCACCCCGGGCGAGCCCTGGCCAGGAGCGGCATCGCCGTCTCGTGGCTTCCCCAGCAGGGGCGGGCATCGAACGACTCCGACGCCCGCCTGGATCTCTGGCGATGTGGCCTGTTCAATCTCGGCGGTTTCCTGCACTGCGGCCGCTTGGGCCAGTTCTCGGGCCCTGGGGCCAAAATCGGATCTGGGGCGGAAGACCGGCCCCGGGGACGGGATCGGGGCCTTTGGGGCAGCAGATGAAAGAAATCGTATCGGCGGATGTCAGGGGACCTTGGTCGGGCAAGTCCTGAGCCCAAGATCGGTGCCTACGCCGTCCTGGCCCTGGCCAGGAGGGGGTATACATCGAGCTGGAGCCAAGGATAGGCCTTGCCTAGATCGGTGCCGGTGCCTTGTTGTCATTAGTTGTCGTCATCCTAGGGGGTGTAGGGGGTTTTCAAAAGGCGGGGCACGAAGTCCGCTGCTTCCAGCGATGCATTGCCGCCACCCGCGCTTGGAAAACCAGAAGCATGCATCAGATATTTTACCCCCCCGCCTTCCTAAACCCCACTTTCGTCCGCCCCGAGAGAAGGTAGCAGGTCGAGGTCACCACGAGTAATCCAGCGCGTCTGGGCTTTTCCGCCGTCTCAGAGGGCCGCCCTCTTCGCGATGCCCCCCTTTTACGCGCCGCCAGCGCATCACGGTGCAGCTCAGGCCCCCCTTTGACGGCGGGATCGACATAACCCACTACACCTTGCACTGGGCCCTGACTGGCAGGTGGGAGGATGGTTTCACGACGGTGGACAACATCGAGGGCCACAGCTACACGGTGGAGGGCCTGCAGCCGAACACGGCCGTGTTCGTCAGGGTCCGCGCAGTGAACAGCATCGGCCCGGGGAAGTTTTCGGAGTGCGGCATCAAGAAGGGCGACCAGGGAACCTTCCAGACGCTTGCGAAGGATCGAGGAACAAAAAGATCGAGTTATACAATCAATTTCCGGAGGTCCGCGCGGATTTCTTATGTCTGCGCTGGACCCCTTCGCTGGTGCGCCAGGAGCGGCGCCACCAGCGCCGCAAGGGGGCCCAACGCCCATCCAAGAAATCCGCGCGCAGCTTCACCAGTATCTTTTTTTTTATGTTGCTCTGTTGGTGCCTTCTAAGGAGCCAGGCGCCTGCTACGACCTCAGCGTCCAGGCCTACCAGCACGAGTACAGCTCCGTGTACGTCAAGTGGGAGAGGCCTCTGGACGATGGGGGCCTGCCAGTGAGCCGCTACATGCTTGCGTGGTCGCTGACCCCTGGGATGGAGACTACATGGGACATTGTGAAAAGGAGCTGCGCGAGCTTCAAGCTCGACGGCCTCCAGCCAGGCACTCTGAGAAGGGCGAGCTGAGACAATGGTAGTTGGCCTTTGGTGGACCTTCGTCGCCACGGCTGGACGCAGCTGGGAACACTCGGTGCGCTTGGACCCCAGCAGGAGTCCAGAGTCCGATTTGTAAGTTGCTGTTGTCTCAACTCGCCCTGCTCCGAGGCACGGACTACTACTTCGACATCCGCGCAGCGAACAACACTGGTTACGGGCCCTTCACTGGGAAGCCCGTGCACGTGCACACCACCGACATCCCGCCGGAGGTGTTCATTCCACCACGGCGACCCAAGCCCCCGAAAGTGGAGGTGGTCGACAATGGGACGACGATGAAGCTTGTCGTCACCTGGGCGGCCAACGAGGTCTACGACGACAAGCGCGGCTTCATCTACAGTGCAGAGACGCAGACACACATGGTGAACACCCACGACCTCGAGATCCTGGGTGGCTACGAGCATCCCGAAGAGGGAGTCCAGGTGTTCACCGCAGACGCTGTGGCGCAGCGGCGCACCAAGCGCAAGGCCCCGAACAACACGAACAACGTGTTCGTCGTCACGGACGTGTACCCCGGCAGGCGCTACCAGGCCCGCGTCAGGGCCTCCAGCGACTCCGGCGTGTCGGACTGGTCCGAGCCCTCGGACGTCGCACGGATGCCTTGCCACACCCCGGCTGTACCGCCAGCTATGCGCTGCCTGGGCCTCACGAGCACCGAGCTCAGCCTGGAGTGGGAGGGCCCCGATCCGCGCGGCGAGCCGGTGACGAGGTTCGTGGTCCGCATTCGCCAGGACTCGGCTCTGCGCAAGAGTGAATCTCCGCCCGAGTGGCCTTCTGTGCGGGCCCACTGGGTTTTGCTCCTCGCGACCACCTGAAGCCGCGCACCACAGGTCACTCGTGCCCAGGGTCGCTCGTGCTTGTACAGTCGCACCGAGGTATAATGCTGTCGAGGTCTGTTCGGGGAGGGTACACCAGTGTTCTTCGTGCCTGTTGGATGCTCATGTGCATTCTTGGGAGGGTACCCTCAGATGTTCTGCTTGCTTTGGCCGACGGAGGGTCTCGAGTTCTTAAGGGATGTTCTTCTGGCTTAGGCCCGATAGTACGAGTGAGGGAGCCCGGGTGTATCACGGCGCGCGTGGGTCGCGAACCATCCGCGTCCCACCCCCGCCACGACCCACCCGCGACTCACCCGAGCCTTGTGCGACCCACCCGCGCCGACGACGACGACGACGACGACGACGTCGACGACAAGCACAAAGCAACAGCGACAACAAGCGCTACCATTTCACCAGACTTCCCAATGATTTTACACGCAGCACGCATTGGTCATGGCAGCTGCCCCTGTGGCCGCCAGGACACGCGCCTGCCGGGCTGGGGCGGGGGAGCGCGGGAGGCCCCCGCGGAGGGCTCCGAGGAGCGGGCACCGCACGAGCCGGAGGAGCTGGGCCAGTGGGTGGCGGAGGTGGCCCTGGACGCGGCGAGCGTGCTGCACGACGAGCCGGCGCGGCGGCGCGCACATATTCTCAGACTCCTTAGACTTCTTAGACTCCTTAGACTCCTTCGACTTCTTAGACTCCTTAGACTCCTCAGACTCCTTAGACTTCTTAGGCTCCAGTGCGGCGGGAGGGGGGAAGGCTTCTTAGAATCCAGGCCTCCCAGATGAGGTCGGAGCAGATTGGGGTCGGAGGATCGCGCCGCAGCGGCGACGCATCCGCGGTGCGGCTTGATGTTTGAGGCCCGAGTTTCGCCACGATGGCGCCGCGGATGCGTGGCCGAAGTCGCCGATGCTTCGGCGATGCATCGCCGATGTATCGGCGATGCGGCGAGATTCTCCGACCCCTCTACTCGCACCCCATCTAGGAGGCCTCTATAGAAGCATCCCTGCTTCGAAGGTGCAGGCCGTACATGTACAGAGATGGTCCGCGCCTTCTAAAAAGCAGGGGTGTTTCTGAGAAGCCTTTTCCCCCCTCCCCATACCCCCCTGTGCGCGCCGCCTACAGGCGCCGCAGGCGCCGATGCCCGTCGGGAGGAGGAGTCACGAGCGGCGAACATGTCTGTATAATCGCGCCCTAGCAGTCTGGATTCCGAGGCGCGATTCCGCGGATGCGCGGTCGCACGTGTACGTTCCGCGCGGGGCGTCTGCGAAAACCGCATCCGCGGTGTCGCGGCCAAGGGGCGAGGCGCGCAAGACCGCGGATACGGATATGTTGTCCGCCCACGAAGGAGGTCCATGGTGGGGGCGAAGTACCGCTGGACTGCCGAGGCGGACGGGCCACAACCCGGGGGTGGCTGTGGCCTTTCTGCCCTTCACCCCCCCTTTTCCCTCGACCTCCACCTTCCGTACCTTCTGGACGGCAGATGTTGCGCAGCGGCCGCCGCCAGTGCGGCCGCCCTTGAAGCCGCAGTGGCGGTCTCGGCGGTAGCTGCTGCGCGAAAGGTTCGGAAGGTTCTAGGCCTCCCAGATGGGGTCGTAGTAGATGGGGTCGGAGGGTCGCGCCGCATCGGCGATACATCGCCGATGCGGCTCGATGCGGAGCCCGATTTTCTCCACGCCGACGTCGCCGATGCGTCGCCGACGTCCGCGATGCATCGTCGGTGCATCGCCGATGCATCGCCGATGCATCGCTGATGCATCGCCGATGCATCGCCGATGCGGCGCGATCCTCCGACCCCATCTACTCCGACCCCATCTAGGAGGCCTCTAAAGGTGGAGGTCGAGGGTTTGGGGCACCCATCGGTCTCGGCACCCCTCTCGAGAGGCCGTGGCTACCACGGGCTCCCCCATGGGAATGAGAAACCCTGGCATCCGCCGATCTGATTGTCTCAATCCGCGGCCCCAGAGGTCCCGACCCCTTCCCCAGGCGTAGTTTTGTTGCCCCCGATCCGTTCTCGATTGCCTCGGGACCCGAGAACGAGCCTCAGGGGCCGAAACATCTGGGAAAGCACGCTGGCATTCTTACAGATCCTATCGTTGGAGATATGGGTCGACGTCGGGGTCACTGATGCCCGCCCTTAATGCGCGCCGAGATGGACCTGGGCGCCCGGTCGGCCTCGAGGAAAAACGCGATTGGATGGAGAGGATTGCATCGGTAAAGACTTAGATCGGACGGGGCTAGGAAGAGGCGAAGTCCGTTCCAGAGCGTTCCTAAGCGCTCTTAATGCGTTCGGGAATTCTCTGAGAAGGCCGCGGCGCCCGAGACATCTTCCAGAGCGGCCAGATCTCAGAGACTCGTTTTTCGATTACACACAAGAGTGACCTTTCGATGGAGTGACCTTTTGTGCGGGTTCATCGGTGTACCCCCGATTGATGAGCACGATGATTTCGCGACTGCTCGCGCGCTTGGATTTGGCCACTCTGCGCCCCTTTTGTCCGCGCACCGAATGTCACTCTTGCCTAGGGTTACTCTTGCGTGTAGCCGAGATTTATCCTCACCCGATGCCATCCTCGTCCTCGCTTCGCCTTTGGAACCACAGCTCCCCCCCTTGCTGTGACCTGCGTCGCCGAGGGCCTGGAGCCCGCGGGCAGCTACTCCGCGGAGGTGCGCGCGGAGAACCTCGTGGGGCTCGGGGACGCGGGCCTGCTCGAGGTCGGCGGCGAGCGGGGGGGAAGTGAGAAGGAGAAGGCCTTCTCTCTGTTGCCTCGAGCGCTCGCTTCCGCGGCTTGAACAAGAGGAAGAAGACGAATAAATAATAATAAGAAGAAAAGAAGGCCTTCTCAGAAGGCGGCGGGACTTCTCAGAAGTCTTCGCGCCTTCTGAGGAGTTTTTGTCTTCGGGGCTGGCTTAAAGACAACGTCTCTGAAGGCTGGGGGACTTCCGAGCCTTCCGAGAAGGCTCGCCCCTTCTCTCTAGGCCTCCTAGATGTGGTCAGAGTAGATGGGGTCCGAGGATCGCGGCGCTGCGGCTCGATGTGGATCCCGGCTTCCTCCTTGCCGATGGCGCCGATGCATCGCCGACGTCGCCGACGCAGCGTCGATACATCGGCGATGCATTTGCGATGCGTCGGCGATGCGGCGCGATCCTCCGAACCCCATCCCCATCCCCATCCACATGCCCCTCCTCGCCCTCCTCGTCCTGGTCCTTCTCCTCGTTATCCGCCTCCTCCTCCTCCTCCTCCTGCTCCTCGTCCTCCTCCTCCTCCTCCTCCTCCTCCTCCTCCTTCTCCTCGGACCCCATCCAAGAGGCCTATGTTCTCCATTCCCCCCCCGTGCTCGCCGCCGACGAGGGGCTGGAGACGGAGCCCACGGAGCCGGGCCCCGCGGGACCGCCGCTGGCGCTCGCTGGGGCGGCCGACGCCAGGCCCTTCGAAGAACAGAGGAGGAGGGGGGGGGAGGGGGATGGGGAGGAGTAGGAGGAGGAGGTGGAGGAGGTGGAGGAGGAGGAGGATGGGGAGGAGTAGGAGGAGGAGGTGGAGGAGGTGGAGGAGGAGGAGGATGAGGAGGAGGAGGAGTAGGAGGAGGAGGAGGGGAGGCGGAGGAGGAGGAGGAGGAGGAGGAGGGGGGAGGAGGAGGAGGAGGAGGAGGAGGAGGAGGAGGAGGAGGGGGGAGGAGGAGGAGGACCGTAGCCATTGGCTCAAAGCCATCGCCTGAGGGCGTCCCTTCCCCTGGGGTTGGGGATCAAGACGCCAGGCACAGGGCCTGCACGCACCGCTCTCCAAGGGCCGCCAGAGGCCCGCCAGCGGGAAGGATTTCTCTTCGTACCCTGCGGTGCGTACAGCCATGTCGTTCAGCAGGGGCTGGCAGCAAGGAACGGGCACAGGTGCAGGCAAATCCGCTTCGCAGCAGACGTACACAGGCGGCTGGCACAACTCTGTTGGCGCCAAGTGGAAGTGTGCATGTGGGTGCGGAAAGAATCGGGCAGATTGGGACTGGTGCAAACAATGCGGCACACCACGATCGTCGGGAGAGGTCTTCTTGCCGCGAGAGGGCCAGCCTGGCGGTCCGTTGGGCCAAGGTGTGTTTCCTCCTCCTGGTCTCCACCTCGCTCCCCGGCGTGCAGGGGCCCGAGGACCTGGTGGCTGCGGCGGCGGCCAGGACCTCAAGAGCCTCACGGACGCGGAGTTGCAGAGTTTGGAGCAGCTGGGTAGCAAGACGAACAATGGCCAGCTCGCCAGTGCCTGTCAACAGGAACGAGCGCGACGCTCTCAGCCAGGACGTGCAACGCACGATGTGGCGGGAGAGGCGCACGCCAAACTAGAGTACGTGGAGAAGCAGCTGCTGGAGGCGACCGAGAAGCTCGAGCGCCTCACCCAGCAGCACGCGGAGCAGCAGCAGGTGGTCACGGGCATGGTCGCCCAGGTCGAGGAGGCCAAGACCGAGTACCAGCAGGCGGTGTCCGCGCTGCACGCCAAGACCCTGGGTTCGCAGCAGCAGGCGCCGCCGCATGCGGTTTCAGCGAAGTTGTGCATTCGAGACATTCTGGAAGGTAACATCCAGGACATCTTCGTCGACGACGAGAGCCTCTTCGGCTTGGGAGACGTGCAGGAGTTGGATGCCACTGACAAATCCCAGCTGGAGGAGAGGAAGCGACTGCTGGCCGAGGGGCTCAAGTCGGTCACGGAGAATCTGTTCAGTTCGGTCAAAGGGAAGGCGGAGTCCCTGGTCCAGCAGCACCAGGAGCACTCGGAGCGCTTCAAGAAGAAGCGTAAAGGAGGAGTCGATGTCGTCCGCGGTGAGCAGAAGGTTCCCGAGGGCGTGGCCGCGGAGAAGCAGGCGTCCGCCGACGGCGGCGGGGTGGCCACTCCGTCTACTGAGGCGCCTGCCCCTGATGCCCTGGCGCGTGCCAAGGCAGCTCTTGCGGCCGCGGGCGAGAGCCCATCGCGAGTTTGACCAGAGCCTGCGTCCAGCTGCTTGCAACCACCCCCCTTGTCCTCCTCCCCCCTCCCCTCCTCCTAAGTTGCAGGCAGCGAAGCGCAGCAGTGAGTTTGTGATTGAGACTGCAAACTCATCGGGTTGGGGGCCCCTTTGTCGGTTTTTGGCTGCTGAATCTCGGGCCGATGTCGTTTTGACTCAGGAGATCGGTCGAGCTCTGTTCCAGATTAAAGAGGCTGAATCTAGATTGGCGTCCTTAGGCTGGCAGTGCAGCCTGAGGCCCTCTGTTGTTACCCAGGACGGCGGGCTTTCGAGTGGTGTCGGTGTCGGATGTCGTCGATCGTTCGGGATGTGCCTGCCGCCTGGGGCTAGTTATCCACGCCTTCCGAGCCCCCCACAGGGTCCACATATGCTGGGTCAATGCGTATGTCCCTGGGGGATTCCTAGCTGTTTCACTCTACCTTCCGACGGGGGGAATGGCCTTGGGGCCTGAGGGGTCTCAACTATTAGCCAGTCTAGGGGAACTTCTGCATGGGTGGAGATTGCCGTACGTCATAGGTGGAGACTGGAACTGTACCCCCCATGCCCTTCGTGAGTGCGGGGTGGGAATCGCGTCTTCGTGCTACGATATGTGCGCCTTCGCTTCCTACGTGCAGATGTGGTAAAGTCTGGAAGGTTCTTGGCTACTTCTTGGTCTCGCCAGGGTTTGCCAATTCTGTCACCTCAGTCCGTCGCAGTCGAGTTTCCATTTTGAAGCCGCACTGGGCCGTGTAGCTCGTGATGCGTCACAAGGCCGTACTGCCTGAGGTGCCGCGCCTGTTCAGCCCCAAGAGTTTTCCGCGGGGCCGAGCTGAGCTTCCCTTCGGGCCGCCGACGTCGCCGGTGGACTGGGGCACGCTCGCTGCTCGCCTTGAAGGAGCGCCTGATGTTCACAGGCCCCAGCTGTTTTTCTTTGAGTTCTTGGGCTTACACGATGACGAAATGTGCAGGGTCTTCTGTCTGGACCAGGAGCTCGGGGATCAATGCCGCGGCAGGGTCCAGGGTCCGAAAATCCAGACCGTTCCCGAGATTCTGACCACTGGGGGTCCGTATCCTGTGGGGTGTGCTCTGGCCAGGGGGTGGCGTTCCCTGCATATTTGGATCCTGGAGCTGCATTACATTAGAAACAAGGGGGTGTCTTGGCTGGGGGTAGATACTCAGTGTATCATTAACAAGATCGTCCGAGGCCCTCCTACCCTTAGGAACTGCCACGAGTGGATCTCCTGGCAGCCTTCGCGCGCCGTGCTGCAGGGCGCCTCTGCTCAGGAGCTCTACCACTGGGCGATAGACGCAGGGCGCATCGCCGACAGGCTCGAGCGCGCGCAGGTTTCGTCACGTCAGTCTGCCTGGAGGAGCTGGGTCAAAGAAGCCGTCAAAAACGGGGTGTTAGTACACCGCTACACCAAGGCCCCCACAGGCTGGGTCCCTTCGAAGCCCTCGACCCCTGGACAGGCCCCTCCAGGCCCGCAGGAAGTTTGAGGCGATTTAACCTCGGAGTGGGAGGGGATTTGGAACACTCCCGGGGGGGGGGGGGTGATGTTCCTGATGATCACCCACTTGAGGCTCTACATGACCACGTCGCCAGCATTAGTGATGAGGAATCTAGCGGCATGTTGGACTGGGAGTTCGACCCCGCCGCGATCCGCGCGTGTTGCAGGAAGTTTAAGGCCAGGACCGCCCTGGGCAGCGACAACGTCCACCCGAGGGATCTCCTTCTGGTCAGCGACGACTGTTTGCTCGCCTTGGCAGGTCTCTGGAAGGCTATTCTTCGGCTCGGTCACGTTCCTAGTCAGATGAAGATCATTCTGGTGGCGATGATCGAAAAACCTGATGGGGGTCACAGGCCTATTGGGCTGCTCTCGGCGCTTGTTCGGGCGATGTCTCGGATGCTTCGTCGGGCCGCAGTTTCCTGGGAACGCGACCACCAGCGAGAGTATTTCTATGGCAGCGCTGGCCGTTCGTGCGAGCGAGCGGTCTGGGAGCAGTCGGCCATGGGTGAGTTTGCGCGGAACGCGGGCATGTCGTTCGCGCCCCCCTCCTCGACCTCACCAAGGCTTATGAAAAAGTGGAACACATCCTCTTGGTCAGAGCTGCCATCGCACACGGGCTCAACGTTTCTATGCCCCGTTATCTTCTGACGGTCGATCGGGGCCAATGGCACGTCCTCCTGGTGAAGATGTGTTCTCGTGGGGTGTTCGCGGTTCAGGCTATCCTAGCGGGTTGCACGTTCGCCACCACCCTCCTGAAAGTCTTCCTCCTTGACCCTCTCGACGTGCTTGTGGACGCGTTTCGGTTTGTCGGAATCTTTAACGTGGTGGATGATATCACCTTGCGCATGGCGGGGAAAGGCAAGACAGTTGCCAATGGTCTAGGCCTCGCCAGTTTCTTCCTCCGCCAGCAGCTCGAGCGGATGCGCCTGATACGCACGGTTGGATCGCGAAAGATATATCTGTCAAGTTGAAGAGGTGGAAGTTTAGGCACAGCCAGTCTACAAAAAACCTGGGGGTGGACTTCAAGGTTAGAGGCAGGGTTAGTGATAGGGTACATCTCGGTCGTATTGGAAAGCTGCAGCCTCGAGCTCACCGTTTCCGTGCCCTCAGTTCGGCTGCCATCGGTGCCAAGCGCACTGTGAAGACTGGCGGTCTCCCCGCTGGCATGTATGGCGAGAGGGTGCACGGAGTTTCCAGAAAAAAAAAAAAGCTCAGGCAGATGCGATCAGTGATTGCTAGGAGTACGTTTGGAGTGTCTCGAGGCCGTTCGAGGACCTTGGAGTTCCAACTGTGCGCGGGCCCGGCCCTCGACCCCACCTACCAGGCCAACTTACTTCCCCTCCAGTCCTGGGTGCAAGCGTGGCGTGAGCAGTGGTTGCCCCGCAGCATCCTCACGAGCATCTTTGAGGCAGCCCAGGAGGCCCCAGGGTTTGACTGGAATCAGGTTCACGGTCCTGGGGGTGCTGTGTACTGCACATTATTGCGCATGGGTTGGTCTGCTGGCCATCCAGTGGTATGGAAGGGCTCCAGGGGCATGCTGTTTGACTTCGGGTATCTGGAAAAGAGGTCTCTCAAAACCCTGGTCCTCTCTGGCACCAAGTTGGCTTTGCAGGAGAATTTGGAGGGCATCAGCTTTCACGGGAGTGTTTTATCGGGTGCCCCTCGCCTGGGGCCCATCGTTGATGTCCTGAGGCAGCTTCGTTCCCGAGGTCAGGTGGCGAGTGCTGCGTTTCTGTCAGGGTGCGTGTCGGGCGGCCTCCCGACGCAGAGCATCCTCTTCCGAGATCGTAGGGCGTCATGCCCCAAGTGCAAGTTTTGCGGCGACTTGGGCACGCCCAAGCACAGGATCGTCGATTGCCCTGCGACCTGGCTGACCCGCCGAGAGTTGGACGTGCCTGAGGCCATCGAAGGTTTCCAGCAAGCACCGTCTTACGACATCGGTACCGCCACATGCCTGGTC